AAATGCAGAAAACAGACTAGATAAGTTAAAAAAAGGAATGTGAAAAGTTGCCAAAAACCTTTTTTATTTTACTCATTTGCAGCTTACAGGCTACAATCCACTCCTGCTTGCCTGTAATATTTTCTCACTCAACTTTTCAGCAACACCTTCGCATTGGGTGGCATGTTTTTTTCCACATTTCATACTTTTTAATGTTAAGATGAAACCATCTTAATGTCTCGTGGCTGCTGTTTACATTCAACCCCGACGCAAAATTTAAAAAATGCACAGCGGAATGTTTGGGGTGGATACGTGCAACCATGGCTAAATAACTAGATTGTTTTTTTTTTAAATGTTGTTTTATTTTATATGTTACAATATTTTAATACACATTTAATTATTATATGTTAAGTTCTGTACATGTAGAATGAAGGGGCAACAAACTTTATTTTTGTTTTAATAGAATGATAAATAAAGTATCATAAACCTTACTAGTCATTCACAAAATTTCGCACCTTTAGCATTTTTTAAAACTAAATGACTGAAACACACCTGACATCACACCTGCTGTCATTTACTGGTAAAACCTATGATGTAATTGTCCTTTGATGTGTGCCATCAAAAGACAATTGCATCATATAGGCCTATATAAAGGCATTGAAAGCCCGCTGGAGCTCATTTCAGCGCAGACTCCTCTCCGAGCTACACAGAAAGATCCACTCAAGAATCAACATAACAAACTTATTTCTCACCTTTGTGAAGAAAATATTTGAAAAACTTGACAACAATATTTGAATATAGGGAAAAAAAATTAACAGCAAACATATTAATTAAACAACCAATTTCTGCCGACATGCCGATCTTAATGTTGGGTCTGGTTGTGGTTCCTTGGGTCACGACAGCAGCTGGTCGTCTCATCAGATATGCACTGGGACATGATAGTGCCAGTTCACCCGGGGTTGACCAAGCAGAACCTGTGGTCCATGAATCACCGACAGACATGGTTCCACCTCCAGTCGAGACAGAACTCAGAGACAGAAGCTTCAGAAATCTCAGGTTACTCTACCAGAATAACGGCAGCACCTCAGACTTAGATTGTCTGAGTAAGGAAACCCCAGGGCAGAACAACCCATCTATTATTAACAGATCTCAGCCGGTCAGCGAGAGGCTGAAGCTTTCTCCCCACTCTGCCTGCACATCAGCAGAACCTGTGGTCCATCAAACACCAACAGACATGGTTCCACGTTTAGTCCAGACAGAGCTGGTCCATCAAACACCCACAGACATGGTTCCACGTCCAGTCCAGACAGAGCTGGTCCATCAAACACCCACAGACATGGTTCCACCTCCAGTCGAGACAGAACTCAGAGACAGAAGCTTCAGAAATCTCAGGTTACTCTACCAGAATAACGGCAGCACCTCAGACTTAGATTGTCTGAGTAAGGAAACCCCAGGGCAGAACAACCCATCTATTATTAACAGATCTCAGCCGGTCAGCGAGAGGCTGAAGCTTTCTCCCCACTCTGCCTGCACATCAGCAGAACCTGTGGTCCATCAAACACCGACAGACATGGTTCCACGTTTAGTCCAGACAGAGCTGGTCCATCAAACACCCACAGACGTGGTTCTACGTCCAGTCCAGACAGAGCCGGTCCATCAAACACCGACAGACATGGTTCCACGTTTAGTCCAGACAGAGCTGGTCCATCAAACACCCACAGACGTGGTTCCACGTCCAGTCGAGACAGAGCCGGTCCATCAAACACCCACAGACATGGTTCCACGTTTAGTCCAGACAGAGCTGGTCCATCAAACACCCACAGACGTGGTTCCACGTCCAGTCCAGACAGAGCCGGTCCATCAAACACCGACAGACATGGTTCCACGTCCGGTCCGGACAGAAGTCAGAGGCAGAAGCCGTACAGAGAAACATGACGTAGAGACACAACACCCTGCAGGCAGAGGGTCAGAGAAAATCACCAAGAAACATTCCAGAGCTCGAGATAAAATTGCAGCCATATTTTCTAGGGCTCAAGCTAAAATTGCAGCTTTAAATATGCAATTTGTTTTTCAAGGATCAGAGAAATAATGGCTGCTTTTTGTTCTGCCTTTGAGGCAAAAACTGCTCACTCAATTGGAGAAAACATTCTTAACTGTAAATTGATGCAATTGCTGCTGTTGTTCCTGCCACCAGAACGAGAATGTCAGTTTTTTCAAGGATCAGACGGAGAACTGCTGCTGGTTCTTCGAAAACCAGAGCAGAAAATTCTGCAGATTTTTCCGCTGTCACAGCGACATCTCTGGGTGGATCTTTCAACACCAGAGACAGAATTGTGGCTGAGATAATGGCAGCCACTCCATAGGCTTTGACTTTCTGGGTAATGAAAGTCAGCAACAGAAACAAGGGCATAATAGCACTACTTTGATTCACAAGAGTCCTTCTCACAGCGAGATGCTAACACTATCTCCCCTCTCTCTCTACATTTCTCTATATGGATGCCCTGATATCTCTTGCAGTGAAAGATCATCTGTACCACTGGTTGTTTAGTGCTCCTGGCATTTGTAACGACAGTCGTCATGGTCGTTAGAGCGACCATTTGTAGCATCTTCAGCCAATAGTGAAAATTTGTTAACATTCCTGGGTGATGAAAGGACAGCATTTTAAATGGGGGATATGTGGTGTCGCAGAGCCCCTCTTAACCTGGGTGTAAATGGATTAATTGACACCTGTTTCAAACCATCCACTTTGTCTGTTTAAGAGTTGCACATTTTAGACAGAGGATGGATGGTTTGCTCTTGTTTCTGTTGCTGAGTTTCATTACCCAGAGAGTCCAAGTCTGTGGAGAGGCCGCCATCATCCTGACACAGCAACCCGAGGTTACTGCAGCCCCTGTGTTCCTAGACGCTCCAGCCACCAGACCCTAAACAACTCCTCTATCCTCGACCCCTTCATCCCTCTATCCTCAACCCCTTCATCCCTGTCCCCTTCATCCCTCTATCCTCAACCCCTTCATCCCTCTCCCCCTCATCCCTCTATCCTCAACCCCTTCATCCCTCTCCCCCTCAACCCTCTATCCTCGACCCGTTCACCCCTCTCCCTTCATCCCTCTATCCTCGACCCCTTTATCCCTCTCCCCCTCATCCCTCCATCATAAATACTCCTTATCATCAAAATAAAATACCTTTTCATACCTCACCTTGGCGTGGTCTTTGTTAGTGAATGACAGCCTATCCACAGATTTGAACTGTGATGTGATGTCCCTTTAACTCTGAGAGTCTGGGGCCTGTGTACAGTGTGTATCTCTGTTTGTGCTTCTGCAGGCAATCAAGGAGATTGGGAGCACCTGGCCAGTGCACCCAACCTATGTGGCCACTGCTCCATCACCACACCACACAATAAAGATCACTCAATGTTGTCTTGCTATCTGGGAAATATCCAGTATTGAAGAAGAATACTATTAAAGGTCATGTTGGCTGCTGATAAAATGTGGTAATAGAAAGGTTCAAGACTGGAAGCTGAATTCTTAAAGAACAAGGTTTAAAGGGGCTATATGTAGTTTTTTAAAATGAAATGAATCACTTTTTTATGCCTATTTGTGAACAGGTTGTAACCCCATATAAAAATGCAGCCTGTATGCTGCTTCCTATATGAAGAAATCAGGTCAGATTTTCCCTGAAATCCATTGGTTTATCTAGGCTATGAAGTTCATGCGGGCTCCTGAGCCTCTTGCCTACTGATTCTGAACTGTACACACAGTGACATCACTGCAGCTAATGAAACAGAGTCCGCTAAACCATAGATTTATTTACTGCTGAATTGTGACCGCCCCTACTAACATTTCCCACACTTATTATTATATGAATGCGCTACTAATTTTCACTTGCACACAGTCAACACTCAACGCTTGGCTCCCTTCCTCTCCTCATTCTTCAAAGAACGCGACATGTGCTGTTATGGTAGCGTAACTCCGAATCGGGAGGTGCGTAGCGAGTGTTTGATTGCGGCAGAAAATGACGGTGAATGCAAGCGGAGGAAAATATTCTGTCAGTAAATGTGCTGTGTCAGTTACAGCGTGTCAGCTTCTCAAGACCAAGAAAAGTCTGTTTGTTGTTTCCCCACCTGCTGGAAAAGTGAAGCCTGTCTTATACAGTAAGCTACATCTTTTGGCTGCTATGTAACTTAACATTAGCTCAATTTATAGAAAATAACTGGTAGTTGTATATTAGTAACTTCTACCTTCAGCCTTTGTCCAATGTTGAGAACATCAGGTAAAAACTTAGACTAAACTGGTGTAGCCTACAGCTGTGTCCTGTAGCCTACAGACAGGTAGGCTCCATCCTACATTACTTTTCAGTTTTCAGATGAGTCTGAAAAAGTGGTTGTTAGGAAAAGAAAGGACGGAGGTGATTGGGCGACCTGATATTAGTAAAGCAAATAAGTGATGCATACAAGTTCTTTTTAGCTAATGAGGAGACGTTTCTTTTTGGATTTGGATGCAAATAAAATGCACCTCAGAAGGGAGGTGGTTTCTCATGTCTATACAGATAAATGTCAATATATATGTATATGTATATATGTCAATATAAAACCCCAAAACAACATGTCTCAGCAGCATTGCTCCTGTGTCCATGAGCACGTGATGCACATTAGAATAGCTTAAAATTTCATTGTTTTCCCATAGGTTTAATGTGAGCTTTAGATTAATGTTTTGGTGGTGTTTGTGGTATGGTCGGGGGTGGGGGGAAATGTTACGTTTTCCAATGACAAATATGTTATTTCACATCATACTGGGCCATTATCACCATATCTCTGAACAAATAGACACCCAAAGATCAGTCTACTGGAGGAACTACAACCAGTAGATTTAGTTTATAGTATATGCCTTTTGTGTCTTCATTTCACAGCTTTTGACATTTATCTGTATAGACATTAATATAAAATATAGTCAACATGAGAACCTCCTCCCTTCTGAGGTGCATTTTATTTGCACATTAACATCTAAAAAGAAACAAACACTCACGGAGAAGTTGTCGAAATGGTCCAATCTGTCCAGACCTCAGCGGAGTCTCCTGTCTGGGTCCCAAATCATTATTTCCACTCGTGATTCATTCGTGATGAGTCTGGTTCTCTGTTCAGAAAGAATAACTGACTTAAGTCATCTGAGATAACGTTAGCTAAAATTGAGACATGTGTCTTACAAGGTAACGTTAGTACGCGGCATGACACCGGTAACGTTAACAGTAACGTTAACAGTAACAGTAACGTTTACCTTATAAGCAGCGGAGCTTTTAACGTTTCTTTAAATAATATTAGTATCAAGCTATCTGGCTAAACGTGCTACAGCTAACGTTAGCATTCTTAACAGTCACATTAACTAACTTAACTTATAGCTGTCACTTAAATATGTCTTTGTCACTGCAGGTCACAATCTGCCACAGCCTTTTATTTGTTAGCAAGAGGAACTAACTTAACATTAGGCCCGTTAACGTTTCATCATGTAACTTAACAAATAACTAATGAAACTTGCAACGTTAACTTAACTTACCGGTATGAAATGTTACGATGAACGCATGATTCACACTGAAGGATAACGTAAAAACGTTTTATTAAGGTTACGTTAGCTAACTTATCGTTAATGCCAGACGGAGTCTGATACATTAAAAAGGACAAATAAAACGTAACGTTTTCCAAGCTGCCGCCCTTAAGTGTTAGCTTAACTTGATATCTTGGGAGGAAACTTCATATGAAGAAAAACAAAATTACTTTACCTTCAGTGAACGCTGAACGTCCTGCAGGACGTTACCCGGACTGTCTGCTTCCAAACGAGCTTGACGTTTTGACGTATCTTCTCCGACGAAGTAAAATATTGTCATTGGTCGAACTCGCCTCTGCGCAGTATGAATCATCCAATGAGTGTACAGCATTCAAATATTTGAATATTCGCGCACTTTCCTGATTTCTGAGACAAAAGAGACTATTTTTAATTTCTGTATTTTCAATCTTTTTAAAGTTTTACATCCCTTCACCCCCTGATTATCGAAGATGTAGTTGATGCTACAGAAACATTTGTTGAACTGTTCAGTCCTAACATCACTTCCCAATCTTTCATACATTTCTCAATTATTGCAAAATTGTAAAAGTATAACACCATTGGAAAGCTTTATCCAACTTGTGATCCCCTTTTTTTTAGTCCCCTTATATTACCTCAGCCTATTATGTTTTTTTTTTTTACAGCCTTTATGAAATCCCATATATTTTCTCAAATAAGCAGACGGTATGTGTTGTACAATTATGTCAATGACATAAAAGGACAAACACACACAATTGGGAAACGCAGGAGACATGATGAAGAAGGGACATCACAGTAGGCATGACCTAAAGGAGGGGACACACGGGCAGCAGCCATAAACTGTATATGAAAAGGCAGCAGCACACAATTCAAGATTTATTATATCCCAATACAGGATATTATCAAGCAACCTCTGACACTACACTTAACACTGTGGGACAGGCAGCCATTTAAATGCATTACTGTAACACCTTAATGAAACATACTTTGCTTAGGTCATATGTGCATGAAGCCTGTATAGCCATTGTCTTTGTAAATTGCAGTGTAATTTGAGATGTTGATCAGATCACAGAGGTTCTGTCAGGCCCAAGTAAGGCGTTCGAGGTTCTGGTGTGCATGAATATTCACATAGGAGGAAAATTCATATCTACCGATGGTTTGAGCTCTGTTGGAACAGACATCAGAAGCCAGAGTGGACACAATATAATTTGTAGTCCAACATCTGAAATAGTCTGTAGACTTGGGGGATCATGAACCCATGGCCTCCAAGAAAGTGGAATTTAATCAGATAGTGACTGCTAACATGTTAGGATTGTAGTGATGCAAGAGGTTTATTCATTACTCTATTACAATCTCTTCAAATTATAACATTGATTAATCCAAAGAGCACTTGCTGGTGGGTTGTCTAGTTGAGCTGTGAAATGGCTGAGGTGATGCAGTGATGGTATGGTGTTCAGGCTAGTTGTAGGCTCATACAGTGCTTTAAGATGTATGGCTGGTCCTACCTGTTACAGTGCCTCTGTTAACCCTTCTTCACATAATTAATAAATTAAACACAAGTCTAACTCCTTGGAGTTGGCACTTATATGTGGTGCTTTCAGAGGTAAAACACTAACACACACATATTTACACACAGTAGGCCTAAATATGAGACCACCGTGGTGAAGTGTGTGGTGGGAGAAGGGGGTGGGGGGGGAAGTGTACATATTTGTCAAATACTTAACGTCTATCTAATCGCACTATCTGTGCAAAATATGAAAGTGTTGTTTAATCACAACAGTGAATTAGGGTTGACATTGAAGCACATGGCCGAACCACCCCGATACTGTGTTCTGCTTGAGGTATCTACCTGTTAAAGGGAGTGGTGGGAATTGTTGGGTTTCTAGTAATAATATTCTAGACCTGCTCTATATGAAAAGTGCAATGATATTATCTTTGTTATGAATTGAGGCTAAATAAAACTGATTAGATTAAATACTTGTTACATCCAGAAGGTAGCAGTGGTGCAGCGCCAGCTGCCATCAAACCGAAAGAAGGAGAAGAAGATTTCAGCCAGCACGTGTGTGATGCCACGTGACTGCATCTTCTGAGTTAATTTTGGCGGACAAGTTGCTCTTGGTCTTCGTTTTTGGAAGTTGTAAGAGGTAAGGACCTGTTCTTTTTACCCGTACCAGGGTTTTTTTTTTATAGAATTTTCATATTGAGCATGATAATATTTTATGTTTGTGATAGAAGACGTCCTGTATTTTTCGGGTGTATAAGCAGTTAGGTTAACTCGCCCAGGGAGGTGGTTCTTGGACATGTGTTAGCTAGCAAACATTGCTGCTTTATCCCGCCGAGCCTGCCAATCCGTGAACACTTGAACGTTACCCTCTGCAGTCGATAGCAACACTGTTTACAGGCGCTTCAACACCTCAGCCTGTGCTGGTGGTGTGCATAGAGAAAGCTCTGTCTTTACATGTCTGTGTTTAAGCGCTTAAGCTTAGCTCTTCAAAGGCTGCTTTTGTAACACAGTGTCTTGGGTTTGGAGAGATTAGTTTTAGTCTTGTGTTGCTGTCTATACTTTCGTCTCTTCTGACACGTATAGAGAGTAGTAAACAGTGAGAAACCCAAAACATCCTGTGTATGCACCCTGATGATTGCTCAAAAAAATAAAGGGAACACTTAAACAACACAATGTAACTCCAAGTCCGCCACACTCAATCAAACTGTCCACTTAGGAAGCAACACTGTTAATCAATTTCACATGCGGTTGTGCAAATGGAATAGACAACAGGTGGAAATTATAGGCAATTAACATGACACCCCCAATAAAGGAGTGGTTCTGCAGGTGGTGACCACAGACCACTTCTCAGTTCCTGTGCTTCCTGGCTGATGTTTTGGTCACTTTTGAATGCTGGTGGTGCTTTCACTCTAGTGGTAGCATGAGACGGAGTCTACAACCCACACAAGTGGCTCAGGTGGTGCAGCTCATCCAGGATGACACATCAATGCGAGCTGTGGCAAGAAGGTTTGCTGTGTCTGTCAGCGTAGTGTCCAGAGCACGGAGACGGGCCAGTACATCAGGAGACGTGGAGGAGGCCGTAGGAGGGCAACAACCCAGCAGCAGGACCGCTACCTCCGCCTTTGTGCGAGGAGGAGCAGGAGGAGCACTGCCAGAGCCCTGCAAAATGACCTCCAGCAGGCCACAAATGTGCATGTGTCTGCTCAAACGGTCAGAAACAGACTCCATGAGGGTGGTACGAGGGCCTGACGTCCACAGGTGGGGGTTGTGCTTACAGCCCACCACCGTGCAGGACGTTTGACATTTGCCAGAGAACACCAAGATTGGCAAATTCGCCACTGCTGCCCTGAGCTCTTCACAGATGAAAGCAGGTTCACACTGAGCACATGTGACAGACATGACAGAGTCTGGAGACGCCGTGGAGAACGTTCTGCTGCCTGCAACATCCTCCAGCATGACCGGTTTGGCGGTGGGTCAGTAATGGTGTGGGGTGGCATTTCTTTGGGGGGCCGCACAGCCCTCCATGTGCTCGCCAGAGGTAGCCTGACTACCATTAGGTACCGAGATGAGATCCTCAGACCCCTTGTGAGACCATATGCTGGTGCGGTTGGCCCTGGGTTCCTCCTAATGCGAGACAATGCTAGACCTCGTGTGTCAGCAGTTCCTGCAAGAGGAAGGCATTGATGCTATGGACTGGCCAGACCTGAATCCAACTGAGCACATCTGGGACATCATGTCTCGCTCCATCCACCAACGCCACGTTGCACCACAGACTGTCCAGGAGTTGGCGGATGCTTTAGTCCAGGTCTGGGAGGAGATCCCTCAGGAGACCATCCATCACCTCATCAGGAGCATGCCCAGGCGTTGTAGGGAGGTCATACAGGCACGTGGAGGCCACACACACTACTGAGCCTCATTTTGACTTGTTTTAAGGACATTACATCAAAGTTGGATCGGCCTGTAGTGTGGTTTTCCACTTTGATTTTGAGTGTGACTCCAAATCCAGACCTCCATGGATTTTCATGGTATTTACATGTAATGTTGAAAAAAATGAAAAAATCTGTAAAATAATAAAGTATATTTCTGTGAAAAAACTTTTTTGTTTTTTACAGTGTAGATAGAAATTGAGTACATCTGTTCACACTAATTTCAATAGCAGATAGCTTATTATAACGTCCACTAGTATCAATCTTAATACTTTCCTGAAAACGTGTTTTAAGTTATGATTTACCACCACTGGCACACCATCGGTGGTTGCCAGGCCCCCGAGGGGGGTGGCCCCCGCTGCGGCAGGTGTCCCTTATTTTTCTGTGTTTAAGGTGGCAACCCTACCCATTGAACACAAAGACATCAATATTATTATTTCCTTTGACCTTGGTCAGGTTACAGACCGTTGGCTGTTGGAGTGACGTGTGTGTGTTTGTGCTGGGGTGTATCAGCAGGTGGTGTTTTGTTGTTCTGGTATGAGGAGGTGCACGCAGTTGTATCTGAAAAGTTTAAGTGTCAGTAGTGTCATCTGGTGGGGGGGTAGCAGTGGTCTGTAGTCAGCAGGTGAACTCTTCCAGATGCAGTGGCGGTCAGTGAAATCACTACCTGTAACTCTCCAGAAAAATATGCATATGCGTGTTGCAGCTGTAAAGTTAATTTTAATTACTTACTTACTTACTAAGTATAAAGTTTGCCGCCTCTTCCTTTCAAGCTGCCAAAAAAAAAAAAAAAGACCCGAGTTTGAGCCAAATATATGAAAATCTGCAGACAGTTTTATTAAATTGACAAATTTTATCTGTACAGCAAAATCAAATCTCACAATGATAAATCTGTTACGTCTTCATATTACATGGCATAATGTAAAAAGAAAAAAACTGCACACCGATAATGTTTGTACACGTAGAGACCTGCATACAAACAGGTTATGATAGCTGTGTTTATTTCCTGTTAAATCGCTCTGATTCAACATCTGAATTCAACAGATACAGGAACATAGAAAAGCTCAAGGGGGCGAGCCGTTGGTTTCGGCCCAGCTTTCAGGTAGGGAACGTTTCCCCTTTCACACTTTTCACACAATGGGTTTACAAATGATTTACAACTTCACCTTCATTAACCTTTGTAGGCCTAAATGAGCAGAAAATATTATGTATATGCTGCACACGCTCTTCATGGTGTGTGATAACCTTTTCTGTTTTTGAATCATTCACAGATGTTTTTAGAAATCTTTACAAATGAATGAGGCTCATTGTCCAAATCAGCTGACGTCAAGTTCATACATCAAGTTAAAGTGCAAATAAAAAGTTCATTAATAATGAGAAGGAGGAAAAAAAAGCAAAATAATGTTTGCATCTTTTAGTTACAATTAAAGTTACAAGTCATTTGCCTGAAACAAAAACAATACATTTATGGCTTGAATATCTGTAAAATACTGAGCAATTATTTTCCATATGGGTTTTCAAATATGACTCATGGGATTTTGTAATGTCTGCATAAAGCAAACCATCTTTTGTAACGTTCCTTTTTCTTTAATATTAATTATATGTGATGAATCTGATACTCATCAGCAGTTGTTTGTATGGAAAGACTCTGAAATAGCATTTAGATGATGGCAAACTAAACCTCTCCTTCTGAATGTAAAGTCAGAAATTAAAAGTGACCCAGTACAGCTATTTTGCTCATAAGCGTCACATGTATGAAGTATGGAAGTGAAAATATACATAGATATTAGTCAGCTCAAGCTTCAGGCATTATCTGAACGAGATAATCAGTCATATGCAACTTTGATATAAACACACAGATCAGAATATTCCAGTTACCCCAATTCACCCGGACTGCTGCACTTTTTTGTGCCAGTCAAGACCACTTAAAGCTGCTTTAATACATTTTTTGGCCAATTGGGGGCAGCAGAGCAAGCTGTTGGGTGCTGACAGATGGTGCGCAGTGGGAAGCAAGGAGGCAATTAGCTTAGCATAAAGACTGTCAGCAGAGGGAAACAGTTAGCCTGGCTCTGTCCAAATCATGATTAACACATTTGTTTAATCAAACATAAAAACAACAAACAGTAGGTCACTGCTAATTCCAGGACGCAACTCCCTATGAAACCACAAAATGTTGTTTTTACAATTCTGTTTATATACAGATCAAACACATGAACATACAGTGTGTTAATTAGTGAGCTTCAGAGGTGTTGGTAGGTGTATTTATTAGCTGTTCGCCCGGCGTCCTTTATGCTAAGCTAGACTAATCACCTCCCGGCTATTTTAAAGAGAAACGGCCATTATCTTTCTGAAATGATTACCTCTGACTTGTGTGTGCCCATTTCTGACAGTGTTTTGGCTCAAGTTTACATGCAGGTTGTTTTGGGTGTAAATGCAAGATTAAGTATGTGGAAACAAACGCAAAAAAAAAAAATTAGATCAGGGTTTAGAAAGTGTAGAACTGGGCTCAAAGGCCTGCAGAGGAGAGGGCCTGACAGGAAAGCATTTCGATGGATTAGCAGCTCACTGCAATTTTAATAGCGTGGTCTGACCTCTAATATGCCACTGCTATGTAAACAATAGGTCATTTGAAAAACGGGGAACTTTCTATGCAGAGAAAACCAGCAGTTTTTCACGTGACTTTCATGTTTGAATGGGTTATCCATATTAAAAAAACTACTTCCTCCCTCACAAAACAAAGAAAACCGCTCAAGTTTGCGCACTGGCAGGTTGTTCGGTTATAAAATAATATTAAAAAAATGAAGCCTCTGCGTGTTGCGTGACAGATTGTGTTGGTACATTAAAGGCAACAGACAACAAGGATAGGATGCTGCACAGGTTATGGTGAAAATATCCAGTCCAAAACTTGAGGTGGCTGAACGGGTCCAAATGTAGAGAACCGAACATGGCGAGCTGGACGCGATCCTGTACAGGAGTAAAGAGGATGGGACTTCATGATTGATGAGAAAATGTTTTAAAGCAACAGGAACATCACAGAATTCAACCCCAAAGTTTGCCTCAAGATTTCAAGTTGCTCCATGTGCCTTTCAGGCAGCCGCAGTCACTTAGAAAGAAATAATTTCCTGTTGCTCTACATGCTGCAGTCTCCATTAAATATCACAAAAGATTCAGGACTCAACAAGTGGAAAGCAACCCTAACATCAGAAGCAGCAGCCCTCAGTCAAGAACAGCGCTTATTTAGAAACGTAAAAGATGCCGGACAACCACACATCCGACCTCAAACAACATCCTCCAGATTTTTTTTTTTTGGGGGGGGGGGGGGGGGGGAATAAGATCATCAAGGAAAAACGCTCAGACAGTCAGTGCTCTCTCGAAGTTTGGAGATGCCCAAATGGAGATGAAAGGTTTTCGTGACAGTCGGGGGGGGGAGGGGCTATTTTGCATTTGATGCAAATATTTTACAGCAGCCAATAAACAGGAGGAGCTCCAGATGGGGGAACTGGCGTTGGCACTGGCAAGTTGGCTGGTTACGGGCCGGGCATCTGAGAGGAGCAGGAGGAGAAGGAGGAAGAGGGAGAAGAGAAAGGGGGGAGGTGCGAGGAGTCCGTCTTGTGTCTGAGCGCTTGTCCTCTACCGGTCCTTCAGTTCTCTTGTCACTCGCTTGGTGATCCGACCGCACAGCAGCCCCACCAGGAAGAGGACGCACACGCTCAGTGTGATCATCAGCAGGATGTAGTTCTTGGAGGGCGATGTCATCACCTGCACAGCCAGGTCTGAGAAGCCCTCTGCTGGCGCCACCTGCAGGACAGAAAGATTACTGTTGTAGTGAAGTAATCCAGCTTTTTAAATGTGTGTCTGCTTGTTGGTCCCCGAGTTGGTCCAGACTGAAATATCTTGACATCTACGGGAGAGCTGGGACGAATGAACCACAGTCATTTTCTCCCAGCCAATACAAGTCTGATATGCCAAACTACCGGGAAAAATCAGGTGGATAAGTCACATATTGACAAGTTATACAGAAAAGGCTTTTTTCAATCACGGAAAGTAAATTCACGCAAGCGGTCATTTTTTTGAATGACGAGTTGTGTTTAGTGTTTTCATGTGCCATGGTCATTATCACATGACAGATTAGTTAGTACTTTCACATATCCTGAAGTTTTAAATGTCAAAGTTTTACACTTTAGAAGCTAGTGAAGTTTAAACGTCAGGAGACACGCAGCCATTCTACCTTATTTAGATACTGCAGGAGGTGGGGGCAGAGTCCACTAGGCTGCAGGCTAGACCATCAGGATACTTACAGCCAAATAATAGGGTCTTCACAGTCAACAAAGAAAATGGGCTGACCATAAAAAGTGCAGCCGAGATCTGATCCGAATGCGCATTAACTGTTTGATGTTCTAAAAGTTTTTTTTATTGAGAAAAAGGACAAAATATGTTTGCAATTACATCTCAACAAGGACACTGTCAAGCATTTTAAATAAAAAAACAAGAATAACAAATAATTTAAATCTATATCGATTTGTTTCTTCCGTCCCACCCGTGTGTGAAAAATTTCGTTCAAAGTGAAATTAAACCGAAGTCGTTCCACATTTTTACAAGATAACACCTGGTCTTGATAGAGCACACACACGAGTTGTTGATCACAACAACAAATTATTTATGTCTCTAACTTTATCTTTTAAAATGACGTATATCTGAAAAGTGTTTCAGTCGTCCCGGCACTCCCGTACTGGTTGGATTACCATGAAAGTTTGTTCACACTTTCATGGTTTCTTGACGATGTCTCCTAATGACTTTACTCTAGAGCCACTAGCAAATTGTCATTGGGGTTTAAAGTGAAATGTCTCGCCAACTATTGGATTGATTGTCACAGGATTTGGTAAAACGTTCATGGTCACCAGACGATGAACTGTAATAACTTTGTTGATCAGATTTTTACTCTGGCTGTTCATTTCTCCAACACTTTGGTTTATGATCAAATACCTACAAAACTAATGACCAATTCTCACCAGCAGCAGCCGTAATTTATGTTATGTACTAAACTGAGTTTAATTTTGAGCTATGGAGAAAACCAGGTTAGCATTTTCTCATGTTCCCAGTGCTAACCAGCGCTGCTCACAGATTTGATAGTGTTATCGGTCAGATGGGAATATTTCTAAAACGTTACTGTCTGACAGTGCCACTAATTATTTGAAAATTTTCTAGGACTTAAGATAAAATGACAATTTTGAAACGGGTCTGTAGATGTATTCTCTGTAGATCTCAAGATGTAGAGATCTAACTCTTTTTTTTTCCCCCAGGAGAGGTTTCACCTGAGCAGTAGCAAAACAAGCGGGGACAAAGCCGAATGTCAGGCAGCTATTTACAAAAGACAAGATGAAAGGGCCAACAGTAGGCACAGTCTCCTTCAGTAGTCTTGAAGGGACCACATCCAGGGGGGAAGTCGATGACTTCATATTCTCATAAAGACTACCATCAACTCAAAAGTAGATATACATAAGAGTTTGTTCAAATCTACCTCAGATGACATTTGGTGCCTTGCAATCATAGACTGTATATAAGAAGTTGATGTAGCCTCCGGGTCTGAAAGGTGAAGCCAATGCCTTAAACCTGCATTCTTTGTAATGGCCAACAGTGGGCGACTCCACTGGTTGCAAAAAAAAACTTAGATTGTACAGCAGTCTGAGAAAATGACCCAAGTTCTCACTTGATTTATTACCTTAGTAAACACTTTCCTAGTGATTTATGGTCTCAATCGTTAGTTTGAGGTCTTCTTTAATACAGCATGATGTAGTAAATTATGATACAATTTGGAGGAATATAGACGATAAAGCAGGGTATGCTTTAGGCAGTGGCTACTTTGTGATTGACAAGTCGCTACCAAAGTGACCTGTCAGGCATAGCCATGCGTATTCCTCTCCAAAATATGGTCACTTCTGGTTCCAAAAAACCAAGATGGCGACGGCCAATATGCCAAACTCGAGGCTTCAACACGGTAGTACACAAACTAACGGGTCACGGTGGCTACGTCCACTTGTTTTATACAGTCTATGCAATAATTTTTTTAATGAACCTAAAAGAATAAAAATAAACATAAAAATTCCATTTTATGATGAGGTGAAAAGCCTCTTGGTGTTTACCTTTGCAGCGTAGCTCCACATGTCGATGCGGTCTTGAAGTCTTTTCTTACACTCAGGCTGCAGACGCACTCTCTTGTCCTGTAATGCCTCCATCAGACACGACATCTCTGGATGGTGAGAGGAAGCAACAAATCAAGACATTTAAACACACAATGGGGAATCTCACTGGAAGGCTTTCTCTCAGGTTAGCGAGTCTTAATTCTTTCACATCTAAAAACTGATCCATCTTTATAAAAATATATTGAATGAAAGCACCCACGTCGCCCTCTGCCAGGTGTGATGGCAGCACAGTGGTGTTTGAGGTCCAGAGCGCAGGCTGTGTGGAGGACCGGGTCCACAAAGATGTCCGCCTTACTCTCCTTCAGCATGTTTAGGACTTCCTGCAGTCAAGAAACAACAAAGAGAGGAGGAAGATGGAGCAAACAAAGCTGAGTTTCTGCACTAACACCAAATCCATTCAGATGTGTCGAATCATCTAAATGCCTGTAAATGTTTGTAGATAATGGTTTGGCGCCCAGGTGGAGTCCAGTCAAGCTTCATAGTTGCATAAATACAGTCTTTGACCTCACATTAGACTCAATGTGGCCGTAATGTAATGAGCCAGTTGAGGTGGTTTGGCGATATGATCAGGATGTGTCCTGGGCACCTTCTCTAACTGGTAGACCCAGCACCCGCTGGAGAGATTATCTCTCTCATCTGGCCTGGGAATGCCTCAGGATCCTCCAGGAGGAGCTGGAAAACTTTACTGGGGCGAGGGACTTCTACACAAGCTTGCTTAGCCGCCCGGCATCGGACAAGCGGCAAAAAAAGGAAGGATAGAAAATGACTTTGCAAGGATGCAAATGTGTGTGGGACTGTGATGTTGTGATTTGGATTGTTTCACCAGTGAGTCAAAAATTGGCAGAGGAAAAAATATATGTAAAGGATATGTGGATGTTTTCTAAAGCAAACTACTGGCTTGTTGGTTAATTAAAGCCTTTTTGCTGAGAGTCCACAGGCACCTGAACACGCCAACAAAGAAGGAATTATTTTTAAATAGTCCCTGTTGACACATTAACAGCATTACCACATTATAATAATGCAAATTTAACTAAGTCAAGTAGTTAGATTACCTTAAACTAACTTTATCAAGATGGATATCAAGATGAAGTCATAGCTAGCGAAATAATCCTAAATTAGTGCAACAAACAGAACAATAATGGTAAATAATATTTACCTTTTTACAGCCGTCCTGTTTGATTTTCAGCAAGTTGACTTTCAGACACTCTTCCACCTGACCGGTCTGCTCCTGAGCTGCTGCCTCCTCCGCACACAACCTGGAGATCTGCAGGAGAGGAAGGAGGATGTAGAGTAAAAACAAACAGGAAAACAAGAGTGGATTTGATGCAGAGCCAACTAGATATCCAAATTAGACCTAGGGTTTTTTTGTGTGTACCTCATCTGAGCAGTGCATCTGCAGCTGTGGGTCCAGTCTGTAATCGAGCGCTGACTCCTGGAGAATTACTCTTATCTGGTCTTCACAGTCTGGAGACAACCTCTGAACCAAACCCCAGGCCAATGAACACAAAATTTAACCAGTGCCATTAAAAGATTTACATATTTAAAGTCCATCATGAAGACAAAGTATGGCATACAGTAGAAACTATGTACCTGTAATTCCAAAGCCAACACAACTTCATAGGACTACAAGAAACATTTGGTCATTTTCATTCCACAACGGTTAAGATCCAAGTGAAGTGTAGATCCCACATTTGTATTTATTGCTGGTTTATAGCCCTTTTCTACCCTTTCACCGTTTCATTTTTATTTATTCTTAAGTTTCATTGACATGCTAGTCTATTGTGTAAAACTGTTTTTATTTCATTTAACCTTTATTTATTCAGGTTGCTTCACTCATTTGCAGGAGGGCCCTGATCACATTCACACTGGAGCTATACGGGCCTGTAATACGGTCATGTTACCGTAGTTTCTAGCAGAGATTTTAGGAAGCCGATTGTGATGTAGTTGCGGACTGACCTGGTCGGCGTATTTGAGTTTGAGGCAGGCGACGACTTGACCCTCCAGCTCGCTGTCCTCGCTCGCCTTGTTCAGGATGGGCTGGCAGAACTTTGGGATGTCTGCTCGACAAGCTTTTCTCAGCACCGGGTTCAACCTGTAGTCTGCAGGATGGAGGTGTGTCAGAGTCAGATGAGGTTCACTAAATCTCCTTTCATTTTTATTAAACTCCAGGCTTTTTACTGACCTGTGTTCTGTGTGATCTGTCTCTTGGTGATCATCTGTTTACACTTTGGATCCATCAGCTCACTGTTTTTGTTCTGTTTCAGACACTGAAGGACGTTTCTGGCGTCCGCGTCGGTACAAAACCGCTGCAGGACAGTGTTTGGATTTCCATCAACAACCAAACAGCAAAAAGTTGATTACAACCGCTTAGATCTGGGAACACAGTGACGTCGCTACAACAGAGCCACCAGTTAATAACCAGATAATCTAAACTACTTTATTTGGAGGCAAGTGCAACAGAAATGCGGCTAATAGTCCTTCATTAAAAAAAATTGATGAAAATAAAAAAATGCACTAGGCCAAACTCCGTGTTGGAGAGTAATTATGTTTTTTTGAAGTATAGTACTTTGCTTGTGTGTTTCTATTTTCTGCTACTTTATACTTCTACTCCAATATATTTCAGAGTGAAATATTTGACTTTTTACTGAACTTTTATTGAACTTAGCTTATAAAATACAATCCATTGTAAAAGTGTAATGGTTCCCAATCCTTTTGGCTTGTGATCCCTTAAAGCAAAACACGGTGTCTGGTTCGGGCTCCTTGTCAGTAATTAACTGTCTAAACTTAAAATGGATAAACATCAGAGGAGGTTATATTCCACAATAAAGTATAGTAGTATACTATATAAATAGTCGAAGATTCGATGCTTTGATGGGCGGAGCTTGATTCGACTGTCAGACAATCGAAGCTTCGCAGTGAAACAAGGATCATGCCATTTTGGCGATATGGGGGTGCTCAATGTCTGATTTTACATAGATCTACCAGTTTTCTTCCAACAAGTTAATATACAGCCTGTTACAATATACATTTCAACGTTTAATGCTGTAAATAAACATGTAAAAAGAAAAAAAACTTTCAATTACTGTTTTTAAAGTGCGTAAATGAATCCGAAATTGTAACCCTAACCCTGGGGGCGTCAGTGCGCATGTGTAGGTGTAGCGTGTATGTAGTGGCAGATGAGGAAGACTTGCTGAAGGGATGGAGCCCCGGCTTCACCGGTGTTGGCCGTGTTGTCCGCGGACTTTCAGTTAATTTATCACTGTCGATGAACCACACAAAGAATATTTTATTGTTTTTAAATAGCCGGCTTCTTTAAATAGACCCACGAGGAACTGCGATGTGCATGCACGCAAAACTCTGTCAGGGGCCAATTCTATTACCAGAACAAGTACTTTTACTTTTGATACTTTTTGTTGATAATACTTCTTCTGTCCTGCATTTAAGATTTTGATTGCAGGACTCAAGTGAAGAATCTGAATACTTCTTACCCCACTGGTCAAAGTTGAAGCGGGAAGTCGGTCTGTAAACTGTGATGGATGTTTACAAGAAATTTAGGTCCTAAATGATAAATATTTTGTTTACAGTCTGTCTAGTCATTGTCCGATTTGACTTCTGTTCAGTTCCCGTGTTCCCAGATCTCAGCAATTCATTTTGTGAGTCCAAAACGACAAATATAAGACCTAAGTTGTATGAAACCATATTTATCTTTTAAAACACACTACACAAACAAAAGACACAGTACTACAAATACAGTGTCTTTATGATATGCTGTATGTTGCCAAACATATAAATTATTATTGGAAATTTTAATTCCAAAATAGGTGCTATTGGAATCAGAAACTTCCTCCTCTTTGTCACCTTGATCATCTGCTTGCAGACTCTCATCAGCTGGTAGTCGAGCTCAGGGTCGGTCATCTCCACCTCCTGCAGCCTGAAGATCCGCTGGTGGCAGCGCTGACTGAGCTGCTTCTTCTGCTCCTTCAGACACTCGATCATCTGTGGATGAGTCAGGGGGAAGGAGAGAAGGGGGAAAAGAGGACAGGAACAAAGAGAATAGGAGACAAAGGGGTAGGATGGAGGAAAGAGAGAGAAGAGCAGACGAGGGAGAAAGAAAGAGAAAAAAGAGGAGAGATGAATCTAAAATGTCTGATATTTGTTTCCAGATGTTACTTCTGTGACTGATGCTCCTCACCTGAGCGTTACCAAAGGCCACGTTGGGACACAGACGACTGATGTCCGACTTACAGGGATCGTACAGCTCTGGTTCCAATCGAATGTCCTCCGACTGAGAGGTAAAGGGAGGAGGAGGAGAAGTTTTACTTTACAAAAGTTAACAAAATGAGCGAGAAAGTTTACCAGCAAACTGAATAACAGAAGCCTGTTTTCACACATTGCCTGATTTTGAGACTTGTTTTATGTATTATGAGGTATTTTCCCCAGAATGTGGTACATTTGGTCCAAGCGTCTGCAGTGAGGCTGTACTTAAGGTATACTTAATAGTAGTGTTGTAGTACTTGAGACCCGTCTTAAGACCAATTTTTGATGGGCTCGTCTCGGACTCACACTCCCCTCGGTCTTGGTCTCGACTTGGTCTCAGCCCCTAAAAGTCTTGGTCTTGTCTCTGTCTCGATAATCTCTGGTCTTGGTCTTTACTTGTTCTCGGTCTTGACTACAACACTACTTAATAGGTATACTTTTTGCAAAATTCACTTAGTTTAGCATGTTAGCATGCTAACATTTGGTAGATGCACTATTCAAAGTACAGCTGAGACTGACGGGAATCTCAGTGTAGCAGCAAAAAATTGGAGAATTGAAATGTTGACCTGGCACTATGAAAAGTCAGGGGATCAGCTCTGTGTGTGTGTGTGTCAGGTACCATCTCCAGCTCCTCCACCCGCAGCTGTTTACGACATTTCAGTGAAACCCGCTGCTCCTTCGCCTCCTGCAGCGTGTCGTTCCTCACCGTGGTGCTGAGACAGATGACTACATCCACCCTGCGGGGCGACGGACATGATGGAAAGTGCGAATTATGTCCAGGTAAATCAACCGCATTTATAAAATAAAACCAACTGACTGCTCACAAAGAACAAACAAAAAAATCTTCAAATACAGTTTCCAGCTTTCTGGATGTTGAACTCACTTTTTCTTGATGTTTGGACACAACCGGAGAACGTCCTCCTTACAGGCCATTTTGAACTTATAGGAGAACCGGAAATCCTTCATTTGAACCTGAAAGTCGAGCGCAGAGAGGGAGAAACTGACATTGATTGATATAACATCTATTGATATCGCTCATATTAAACAGTTTAATATTTTAATTTATAAAAGTACTTACAATAAAACTAGGAAAAACGAATTAACACAGAGCAAGACAGAGTTTACAGAGAGAAAGATGTTGTCATGCTAACTGACCAGCTGGAAGTGTGTAACGCCGACTGAACACTTCTCGTTCATCTCCTTCTGGTGTTTATTCTGAACCAAACACTCCATGAGATCCCCTGTATCGATCTGGTTATCAGCTACATCCTATACACACACACACACACACACACACACATTAATTATCCAAAACATTATTCTTTATATATAGTTCAAGGAAAAACATAAAAAAGTACATGTGAGGGTGTTGTAGAAGCCTGTAATGGCTTATGTACAACCTTACCCAGAAGACATAAATAAGATCAAATAAAATACATAAGGTAATGAACAGCAGTTTCTAAGAGTGGTCTATATTGTTGTCCTTCTTTTTTCATTACACCACACTATATGATTGTTTTGGAAAAACATTGGATCTCACTAGAGGGAAAGTCAAACTCTTAATCCAGCAGTGGGATTATGAGACATCACCAGTTGACATTTAAGAATATCTGCATGGACAGCTTTTGTCCTCTAGGAAGCAAATTTCTTTTTTTAACATCCTTTCTTATGGACGGTCAGTTTTGGTCAAGCAGTGATTTTGTCTCGATGGCGGCACTTCACAAAAAGGTCAAGAGATCAACAAAAAATTAGGAATCATTGCTTGTTAAAAATAAACATGCACTGCTAATGGGGCAAAGCCATTATTTGTGTATATGTTTCTGTGTGTCATGTTAAGAAGGTTAAATGTGCGATCCAGAGGATTGGCTGACACGAGACCTGCCTACTTCCTGGTTCCGGTCGGTGATCTGATTGGTGCGGCGTCTGGCAGTCCCTTCCAATCATCTACAGCCTTCCAGACATTCCCCCTGTTTAAATACCTGCCTCCCTGTTGAACCTGGCAGTTGCGATTTTGCCCTCGTTTGTATTGTGCTCTATTTTAGTGAATGTGTTACCTTCAGTAGGAGGTTTCATTGATTTACAAGTGCAAGTGTAGTGACCTTAACTTGTGAACTGTGGTAATGAAATTGGGCAAGGATCTTAGTGGGGTTAACTGATACCAACCAGACACCTGTAGATTCAGTTTATGTTTAGACACACTAGGTTTAGAGGGTGTTGCTCATTTTTGTCTCACTTTGATTATTGATGACTGGTCAGAGAGAGTTTTGTTTAAGTTGATTTTAAAGTAGCTAATGGCTATCTCTCATTTTGGAGAGACCTTTTTAAGTTATATTTATTTCTTTGATTTAAGCAGCACCCACCAGCCCTTTTTCCGTTCTTTTTTGTGAATCCTGCAAATAAATAACTTTTACCAAAACATTCTGGGTCATGTTGCTTCCCTTTTCCCCACGAGCCGGGTCGTAACATATGTGAAAACCTTCTCATAGCACAGCTAGAAAAGTACATGCACTCACATGGCAGTGCGCCTGGGTGACGGGCTCACAGGCTCTGATGAGGAGAGCATCGATCTGGATATCCTGCAGCAAACAGCGAGACACACGGGAAGTTCAAAATGTGCAGCTCAGATAAAGAAAACCTCACTTCAACACCACAGCTACTCAGGTGAGCATTCATTCTAGTTTCCACTTTATATTAAAGACCTCTGACTCCAGCTCGGTGAGGTTGCCCACGACGTCTCTGCAGGCAGACACCAGGTCCTCCAAATGATCCTGCAGACACTCCAGCTCCTGGAAACACACACACACACAGAGATGTGGGAAATGTTCACTACAGTATACATGATTTAGTATTAGTGATAAGTTAAAGGTTCCGAGGAGTTTTCACTGTAAACAAACATGATTAGATATAAGAAAAGCTTTTATGATGAACTAAACAACCAACAGAGGGCATTCAAACATCCATCACTGGGTTAATGTATCAGATATCAGTAGTGTTGTTCCTTCTCACCTGTCCTGTGTCCGTCTTCTCACTGCACCACTTGCCGAGGTCGGTCATGCAGCGTTTCTGCAGCTCAGGGTCCAACTTCACATCCAGCGCCCTCTGGTGGAGGATCCTCTGAACCTCCACCTTACAGTCCCGAGATAACTGCGAACACACGCAGCCACAAGCTTGTAATAGAGCCTGATGATACCGAATTGTTGAGCCTGATGCAAACATGCTATTTAAGTGTTAAAATAACAATAAATCGTCTGATATTCATTTAACATAAACAAGCATTTTGATAAGAATCTCTTAAATGTGTTAGTGAAAGAATCGTGAGCATGATTATGTTCTGAATGAGACATTTTACAAGTGAAAAAAAGACTGTATCTGTGACAAGTTAATATTAGATGATAATATTGGCTCTAGTTTATAATCCATTCTTGTGAGGAACCTCACGTACAAAATTAATTACACATCCCCTAATGCCGCATTCAGAGTTACTGTAATTACCAGTGTCAGGTTAATAATTGGCATTAATGTCAACATGTCTGATAAATAGTACCGACCCCAGCCTGTTCACCCTGCTGCCTTCTGGGAAGAGATATAGAAGTTTCTGCTGCCAGCAGAGCAGCTTTTTCCCCCAAGCTATCAGACTCTTAGGGTGCTTTCACACCTGTTTTCCCACTTGGTGTGGTTCGTTTGGGCAGGTGTGAATGCAGCAATCGCACTAGGGTGTGCACCAAAAGCGGACCAAACAAGAACTCTGGTGCGGTTCGCTTGTGGTGTGAAAGCAAACAAACCAAACACAGGATTTTATGATAGCAGAGATGTGATCTCAGCATTATTTCCAAAGCTCTAATAAATCCATCTGCTGACAGTGACATGTGTTCAGCGATCTTATAATTGATCTGTATAAGCCGCTATGTTTATGAAAATAATTTTATAAGTTATAGCCTACTTGTCAGCGCGGGTATTTCCCTGATTAATAGGTTAAAATCTGTTTAAAAAAAAAGAGGGCAAGTAGTATTCAGATACCACAGTATACTGTAGGTGAATAAGCCCCGAATTATTACTGTACATGTCCTGTTTTTAAGCGGTCGATTTGCTGTCTAGCGTTAGTAATCATGCTTATAATAAATTATTACTTTGTGAGTCTTTGCAATACAGATCAGAAGCGTTAAAGTGCTGCACAAACTTCTGTCAGTCACCGGAGTTTGATTTCCCCACGTGGGTCCTGTTGATGCAGGACGAGAATCGCCAAAGCTGTCCAATCAACAAGTTACCTGTACGTCTGTGTAACGTCATGGTTACTTCTCTTGGTTCGTTTGTAAAACTGCAGTGTGAACGTGAACCGGACCAGAACTAAAATGCAACACGGTCCGGACCAAATGAACCGAACTACAGGTGTGAAAGCACCCTTAAACTCATCCTCAGCACAGCTCTATTGATTATAGTTTATTTCTGTGTACCATTTTTTATAATTGTGTATATTGTCTGCTATGTAGCAGAAGGGAGTTACAAAACACAATTCCACTCTCTAACTTGTTTTATTGTGATAATAAACCTACCTACCTATAAATCCGACTTGACACATTAAAATACCTACATGCCTGAAAAGTATACATGTAGTAAAACAATTAGTCAACAGACACAAACTTAAATGATTAATCAATTATTAAATAACAGTTACAGATTAACCAAACACTTGATGATTATAGCTTCTTGTCTTAACATTATAATAAACTCAATATCTTTGGAAGGACAAAACAAACCACATGGCGACATTAGCTTATGTTCTAGGAAATTGTGATGGCCATTTTTCACTGTTTCCTGATGTTTTTATAGACCAAATGATTAATTGATTAATAATTTTAAAAAAAGAAATTGACTTAGGTGCAGCCTTTTATATTGTCTTATACTGGTTGCAGCCCTACATGTGTGGATTACCTAACCTCAGCCAGTTTGTTTAATGCAATATAGTGACATTAATCAATGCATTATCTATAACTTTGCAATCATACAACGTGAACTATTGGTAACAGTTGGTTTCAGTTGAACATTTGACCACTACTGATTAAGATTCACAGAAGTTTAACTGACATTTATTACGTCCAAAAAAGTAGTGATTAGTAAATGTCCGAAAGCTCTAATTACTGCTCAATATAGAGTAAACTATTGAGAGTGTATCATATCGGGAGAAGAGAAAGGACACAGCTATACAACTGTTACTTTACTGTTGGACTAACTGCTGTGTATTTTACTGCTTCACACAGTGAAGGCAAAAACTACCATCCATTCCCTTTTGATATGAACACTGAAAACAAGTCTTAAACAGCTCTTTGAATTGTGAACCAACTACCTCAGTTTCCAGAAAACTACTTACTGGCCTGAAACACACACACACACACACACACACACACACACACACACACATTACTGAGACCATATAATCATATCAAATCAAGTTGTCAAGAGGCTCCTCACAGATGAGTTCAATTGCCCAAATCAGGGCCAAGTGGACTCACTGTGTTTCGTGGAGAAACACTGATTACATGGATATCGGGGCCAAGCAGGGCCAGTCAGACGTCATCATTACATTCATTTAGCTTGTCCCAAGTACATCCCTCTGAAACAAACAACTAAAATTATGTTCAGTGCTTCAGTAAGGGTCCTCAGACTTCTTTTAGAAATGAGATGCCAGTTTTAAGTGCTAGCATGGGGTGCTGAAACTGTCTGGAGGCAGAGGAGCATAGTTGTCGTGTAGGGTTTTGCCATGGCTTGTGGGTAGGAAGGAGCAGTTCCCTTCACTGCCCTTGTAGACCAGCACCAGAGTCTGGTAATGGATGTGAGTTGCAGCAGTGAGCCGGTGTATTAAATGGAGTGGTGTGGCAAATTTTGGAGACTTTGAACAGCCGAAATTACTTAATTAAAAATTAAAGATTTTAATTACTGCTGTTGGCAAGACAAACTAGCACTGCTTGGCCTTGCTGAGGAGCAGGACGTCACACAAACACACCCCACCACATCAAATCAGCCCGAGCCTATCACCGACCGACAGACATTGATTCAATCACTGCCGTCATCATAATTAATTTAACCCTTCACCAGGATCAATACCGATTAAAGGGAACCACCGACCACTTACCTGCTCGTCTGGGTTTACCTGGTAAATAAAAACATTAGAGTTACACCTGCTGATCCTGCTGTCAGAGAGAGACAGCTCCGTTAATCACACGCTACTCAACAACAAGCGTTTACCAAAACACAAACTGATAAAAAAAACAAAAAAACAATCCTTCATAAAGTGATAAATACATCAAAACCTCTCCAGCATTAGAAATCAGAGTGTGTTTGTAATGTCATCGTACCCGGCGTCCCTGCTCCTCGGTGCGGTAGGCGTGGCGGTAGAGGCAGGAGAAGACGGCGCCCGGTGGCATCAGCTCGCTGGTCTCGTTCCAGCCGTGCGTGTGGCACAGTCGAGCAGCGTCGCCCTGACACTTCTTATACAGGATGGGGTCCAGTCTGGGAGACAAAAGGGGGCCATGAAACGATTTCTTTCCTCCGATTTACAGCTCAGATTTGGACGAAAAAGCATTACAGACATGTTTTTTTAATTTTACAATTCATGCCAATATTCTGAGACTCAAATTTAGATTTCTGAAGGAAAAAAAAAAGCCAGAATTTGGAGATTAAAGTCTGAGGAAACAACATTTTTCTTTCTTTCGTTTTATTTTCTTCAGATCATCTGGAGATTTTTCTCACACAGCCCTAATGAAATGAACTCTGATGCCGGATTCAGCATTGCACAATTGTTTTGGCTCTATTATCAGCAGCAACAGTGCAATGCACACAACTTGTGATGCAACACACTGACATTGATGTGATGACAACTGAGCTATCATATGTTGATGAAGACTCCGGAAAAAGCAACTAAATGGACCTTTAGTTTAGATTATTTTGTCAAGAATGAACTTTAAGGCACAATGTTATGATGTTTGTATTGTTGTTGTGTCTGTGGAATATTAATGTCACGTCAATAATGTTTAGATTTGTTAGTGCAAATTGTCAAATGATGAATTCAGACTCACTTCCAGTCTCTGGATATGAAATACTGCAGCTCCAACAGTCGGTGTTCACAGTCCTCCACCATCTTGTCTGTGTACAGATGTTCCATCAGGCACGATAGGATCCTACACACACACACACACACACACACACACACACACACACACACAGTCTATTACTGACAGACACTATTAATGAATAATTTGTTATTCGCAAAAGAGCAAAATCTTCAACTGATCAGGATTTTAAATTGAGATTATTCAACATAAGGCTGTGATAGATATAATGCACACAATACAATATCTGTGTGTGTGTGTGTGTGTGTGTGTGTGTGTGTGTGTGTGTGTGTGTGTGTGTGTGTAACCGGCTCACATTGGGTCTCCGTTGCGGATGTGTTTGCAGGCGGTCTGGATGACGGACTCGCAGGCCTCGTTCAGTGCTCGATCAATCCGGTAGTCGGCTCCGGGGTCGGCAGATTGGATCAAAGTCTGTAGCTGCAGCGAAAATAAAGGGTAGAAAACATAGAAAAGTCAGCAGCTGGAATTTATTTTGTTACAGTATGATAAAACTGCCTGATTTATATGATAATTCATAATATTTTAGGTTAGTATTACGTACTGTAAGTTTGTACGACAAAAGCAGTTATTTTCGTGCACAATATTTAAGAAATTTTTTGTATTTTGCTAGAAAGCAGCTGGTCCAATTTGGTCAAAGTACCTACAGGCTGATTTTTTTCCCCCACAAACATGAGGGAAATACCACGTAGAAAAAGAGCTGTTAAAGAATTAAATTAATTGACGTGGTTGTTAAAAACTGAACTGGCACAATGCAAACTCAAGTTATTGGTTAGTGACTCTAGCCATAGTCCTGTTTCTCTCGCTGCTTGTATCTCTTTAACACTGAAGTGTCACAGTGACAGTTAGCGCTGTGGTCTTACGGCGCTCTGGCAGACGCTGTCGATGGTGGTACCGCGGTCGCCGCGTCCGATTCTCATCAGGCAGTGCAGCGTGCGGCCTTTGCGGTGCAGGCCGGAACAGTGCGCCTCGATCTCCGTCCGGCAGTGCAGAACGATCTCCGGACTCAGAGAGAAATCCTCCATCAGCATCCGCCGGTAGTCCAGCATCTCCCCCTGACACTCCCCGCTGACAGGACGACCTTTACAGCGTAAAATGAATACAATTAAGCCCTGATGACACAAGTAAGGTACATAAATAACAAGCTTATACATTTAGCATGTATTTACATTTTATTAACATTTTCTCCTGATGATGTATGGATGAATCCCCTAGTTTAGTCCAAGTCCACCTTCATAACCCTACTGTCTTGCACTTTGATGATTTTGAAGATAATAGGTAGGTAGGATTATTGTCACAATATAACAAGTTATAGAGTGAAATTGTGTTTTGTAACTCCCTTCATAGCAGACAATATACATTAATAAAGAATCAATTATGAAAAATGATAAACAGAAACAAACTATATTCAGTGGAGCAGTGCTGAGGATGAATTAGAGTTTAAGAGTCTGATAGCTTGGGGGAAAAAAGCTGCTCTGCAGTCTGGTGGTGCGGCAGCAGAAACTTAAATATTTCTTCCCAGAAGGCAGCAGGGTGAACAGGCTGAATGGCAGGCAGGATGGGTACCAATTATCATAATGATTGGCTTTGTCAGAAAACAGAGCTGTAAATTACACCTCACGCCCTCCCCCGACTCACCGCGGTGCACAGCAGCCTCCAGACACAGCAGCAGGTACGACAGCCGTGCCTCGCGGGCTCGCGGCAGGTTGGTGTCCAGGCTGCAGCGCTGCTTCCTCAGGTCCAGCTTACAGGCTTTAGCCAGAGAGTAACTGACTCTGTAGTCCTGAGAGATCAGCTTCTGACGGGTGGTCAGAGCGTCACGACACTGTGAAGAAGGAGGGGGGGGATTACTTATTGAGTACACGATGATCACAAAACACAACTGAGTAGCTGAATTTATGCCCTCTTAACTCGCCCCAGAGGGTGAGATATTGAGTTGGTCGTACCTTTTCTGACATGGCCTCTTCAAACTTGTGATTGAACAGACACTTGTAGACTTTCCCCTCTCCTGCCTGAGTCTGTGAGGAGGAGGAACAAAAGAAACTTTCATATCATTTAAACACAACAGCTAAATTAACCAGCAAATATACCTCCACCTTGGGGTTTATGTTTTTGGTCCCATTGTTTGTTAGTTATCAGAACAAACCTGAAATCATATTAACATGGAATTTGGTGCAAAGTTAATCTATTGGCTGAGGATCCATGACTTCCTGAAAGATTCTTAACACTGAAATATAGAATTTTTTTTATATTTCCATGATTTTCTCGTGAACTACTGCACTTACTGCTACTATGTGTATTTTCATGCAGAGTCTAGTCACTTTATTAAGTTCAAACAAGTGAACTTTCAAATTTTTTTTAACACCCAAAAGTTCAGGTGATGACTTGGTTTGAGTACGCTTAAATAAAGTCTCCTCACGTTCTGACAGAATCTCTCGCGGTCGTCTCGGCAGGAGAAGTAAAGATGACGGTCGAGGTGAAAGTCGTCTGACGACAGCTCCGCCACCCGCAGGATCGCCCTCTGACAGTCGTCTTTGATCGGGTGAACATGATCCTGATTCTCCGCCTCCCTTACCAACGCCTTCTCCAGGCAGGCGATCACTTCACCCTGGGAGTGGACATCCTGACGAGAAATGGTGCATCAAAGAATTATTAGAGTCAAACTATTAAAGAACCAAAAGTAAAAGTACTCATTATGTAGAATGGCCCATAAATGTGTTCATCACTTTAATGTTGCAGCTGGTAAAGGTGGAGCTAATTGTATTTACTTTATTACTGTTTTACTGCGGAGTAGCATTATCACGTGACTGAAATCATACTGAAGTTACGAGATGGCAAAGTAAAGTACTGTTTCCGAGGTCAAGAACGATCTTTCATGCTAAAATGTTTGACCAAACTCTTGTAAGCCTTCGATTGTATCATCGCTCAGACAGACAGACAGACAGACAGACAGACAGACAGACAGACCTTGTGTCCTACGTTGATGCTGCCGCAGTGCAGGTTGTTGATGTCTTCCTTACATTTGTCCATGAAGCCGCAGATCAGTCTGTAGTCGCTGAAGATGATGCTCGTCATCTTGGTGATGTACTGATTACACTGGTACTCACTGATGTTGCCGCGGTGATCCACCAGGCACGATACGAGGTAGCCTCTGCCTCGCTCCTCCTCATTACACTCCTTTATCTGAAGGTGTGACATGTGACGGGTGATAAATCAAATTAAAATCTAATCATATTTTATTTACAGTGGAAAATCAGCATGCAGCATGACTTTCCAAAAAATACACAGGATCAAATACAAAAGAGTAAAAACATAATACACAGGATCAAATACAGAAGACACAAGATAAAACACAGAAGACACAAGATAAAACACAGAAGATAAATCACATAAGGGTAAAAACAGCAAGAAAATGAATAATAAAGACAAAACAGCTACATTTAACTTCAGATTAAGAGGATATAAAAAAGGTGCACGACCCAAATTCTAGGAGAGGCTGTAGTGACGTGAGAACAAACAGGCTTTTCAGTCTTGATTTAAAGAGGTGATATTTCGCTCATTTTCAGGTTCAAAATCCTATTTATGGGTTGTACCAGAACAGGTTTACATGGTTGCATTTTCAAAAAACACCATATTTTTTGTTATACTGCACATTGCTGCAGCTCCTCTTTTCACCCTGTGTTGAAGGCTTCGTTTTAGCTATGGAGTGATACATCTTTCATCTATATGATCTTTGTTGGGAGTTGCACATGCTCAGTTCCTAGTTAAGGACTACTAGCCAATCAGAAGCAGAGAAGGGCGGGTCAGTGAGAAGCCGGTAAACAGGGCTTTGGTTCAGGGTTAGGGTTACAATTTTGGATTTATTCACACACTTCAAAAACATTTATTGAAAGTTTTATTCTTTTTACATATTTATTTACAGCATTAAATGTTGAAATGTATATTGTAATAGGCTATAAATTAACTTATTGGGAGAAAACTGGTTGCTCTATGTAAAATCAGACATTGGTTAAAAGGAGGACAGACTGTATTTAAATATATTACAAAAACCTACTCAAACAACTTTTCTAAATATAATACAATGTTTGTCTTGGGGATGACTTTAAAAATAATTTTTATTAATGAGATATTAAGTTTAAAGAGACTTTATGTCAAGTGTGTTTGCTTGATTGACAATATTGTGTTAATACTGTAACAAATACTTTATTAAGAGGTGGGACTGCTGCTCCTTCCCATTGAGCAGAGCCAGTTGAGGTTTTTTGGGCATCTAATGGGTGTGATGAGTGCCTCCCTGTGGAGGTATTCTAGGAACTTCCACCCGGAGACAGACCCTAAACAGGCTGTAGGGATTATATTTCCCATCTAGCCTGGGAATCACTTCAGGATAGTTAAAGGACTTGGCTGGGGAGAAGTGGGTATGGACTACTACTAGTCCGCTCCAGAGTATATTTAAGGCTTAAGCCTGCTACCAGTCAACACAGTGACTGAATCGAAGTATAAGTAACACTAACAGAGTACAACACTGTTACTGTAAATACCATAAAATGGTATTCAAATAAAGGCTGAAAATAATAGCTGGGGCATGAACAAATAAAGCCCATGTAATAAATAGCATCGTGGATTTGGAGTTTCTGTTTTCATTGACTAATTCATTGCAATCACTTCTACTCTGCCAGTTTGTGAGTGCTGTTAAGTCGCCATTGAAGTGGTAAACTAAACTATTCCTGTAGATGTTTCAAATTAAAGGCCTTGCAGGAACAAAATTATGCGCCCTTTGAGCCACTGGATTTATTGTGAAACGTGCAAGAAGTGTTGAGTTTAACTGATGGTAGCGCTACACATCAATCGAAAAGGTTAAATGGAAATGACAGGAAATAATTAAAAACAGTATTTCTGTTAAAAAAGACAAACTCAAAGCTGCAAAGTTTATATCAACAGCTACTTAAAACAGTGTTTCAAAAACAGGGAGGTTACCTCCTAAAATATACTTATAGAAAAACTACTAGGCCTATACTTATACAAATAAATTATATAACAGGTGAAAATAGAAATCAGGGCTCTAATCTTGAATAATCTCTGTCTCTATAAAGAGGAGGTAAATAAAGGACCATTTTGAGAAGTATAGTGTAAATACTGTTATTGTGCAGTGTGTAACTACATCAGTACTGTTAGTTATTAAGTCCTGTAGCTAAATCACACTGTTGCTTCTCTACATTCAACTAGGAGTTAACTAATCAATCTTAATTTTGTCGGTAATGTAAATCAGTACTGAACTACCACTGTATTAGTTTTCAATATGACATGTGACAACGCTTCATTTAACTTGACAGGAAACTGAACCCTGAGCCTCCTGCGGTGCAGACTGACCTCGGCGATGGTGCTCTTGCAGACGTCTGTGGCCACCGACTCAAACTTTGGATCTGTGGTCAGATTGAGTTTGTAGTTCCACAGGAGCTGAGGGAGACAGGACCAGAAAAACACATTACATATTCATACATCTATGCAGCAGAGACATCCAGTTTATTTAGAAATGACAAATAAACGTACAGCACTACCCCCCCCCCCCCCCACGACAACAAATCAGATCAGTTCTTGCTGTCAACTATTTACAGTAACACAACACAAACATGTCACTAATGTACAAGAAGCATCTGCCTTAAACTGATCTATATCAGTGGTAGTCATGATTAACACGTTACTCCACAGAGTCAAAATTAGAAAACATCTGCAGAACTACTGCTTCAGTGGAGATACAAACAAAAGGGCAAAGGTTTAAATATCTGTCACTTTACCGCACCTTTCAAGTGCTGCTATTGTTAAAACAGCATCTGAAGTCACATAAAATGTATCACCGAGTACAAACACCTGTTTCTCATTCAAAACAGTGGTGCATTAGAAATTTGGCATCACAGCTGGTCTCTCTGATAAAGAGGAAAATTTATGCTTTTGATGCTCAAGGAGGCAGAATTTAGAATCAATATGATTTAGCCCGTTGCAGATTCTCAAATGTATTTTTTCCAGTCAAACCCTGGTGAAAAGTGGGTTCACCATTACAGCTTAGCCTGAAACATAACTAAAATGATTCAGCCTGCACTACAAACTGAGGGTAAGGAGAAAAATGTGGGCATTTACCAAGTAGAGAAGGTCTATTGAGTTGCATTATGTAAATGATACATTCCTGCTTGACCCATACTAGGGACTAAAAGTCAGTATATCTCAGCCTTGTTCAAATCTGACCACAAGTCCAACAAACTTTATAGAAGAACGCTAACTTACTGCAGTTCCCCTTATTTATTAGCCCAAATCTGCATGGTCAGATGGGCTCTCAGCATCGCAAATACAAACAATAATTTGGGATTTCTTTATAATGGAAAGACATTTCTGAATGTCTCTCTTGTCTTTAGATTCTTTTTTCTCTTCTTAATGCCAGTGTTTTTTCTGCCAGCGAGGCTCCAGCTGCAGCAGCCACAGATAACAGCTACTGACAGTCAGACCGCCCAGAAAATAACACCACAGCAAAACAAGAGGGTTTGTGTGTGTGTGTGTGTGTGTGTGTGTGTGTGTGTGTGTGTGTGTGTGTGTGTTTGTGTGGGAGACATGTTAATTGCACCCAGAGCTTTCCAGTGCTGTAATAAAAGACAGTTCAAGTGGTCCATTAACCTCGTGCTGTTTCATAAACCTGTCTCCCGCTAACTGCTGTGAACTCTGAACACTAAAGGTTTATCATGCAGAAGACACCGAGACGAGCTTTAGGAACCTCTTACTACAAAAAGAGAAGAGAAACTGCAGAATGAATGTTAGAAGGAGGTGAAACTTTAGTTTGTGAAGGTCGTCAGTTTTGTATTGTAGCTGCATTTCCTGTATGGAAGATGGTACGCATCATTATTATTATTATTATACCAAAGTGTAGAAATACTCTGTTACAAGTAAAAAATTAAGCAAATGTACAAAAGTATTGCATCAAAATATTAAAGTACTAAAAGTACTCACCAAGCAGAATAGTTAATTTCAGAACCATATATATTTATTATTGGATTATAATTATTTATGCCTTAATGTGTTCACCACTTTAATATAGCAGCTTGTAAAGGTGGAGATAATTCTAATAAATTGATTCCCCCCTGGGGATCAATTAATTCTTATCTTAGCCTAAAATGATATATCATAACTTCTGTACTGGTTTTATTTTGTATTATTAATCTAAATCTGCAAAGTAACTAGTAACTACAGCTATCAAATAAATAAAGTAATTATTTCCCTTTGAATTGTGGAGGAATAGAAAAATAAAGTTGCAAAACTAGAATACTCAAGTAAAGTACAAGTACCTCAAAATTATAGTTAAATTCTGTACTTGAGTCTACTTAGTTACTACTAGATGCTGATTGTGAGCTGCACAATCACTGTATTGCTTTATTTTAAATTCTAGTCAAGGTCCAAATGTTTCCATGTGTGTCATTCTGCATTAAAGAGAAATATGAGTAATGCAGTACAGAAGACATCTATAATAACGCTGCAGCCTTAAAAAAAACTGTTTAAATATTTTACTCAATACATGAATTATATATATCCTCAATTAAGTTTTGGAACAAATGAAGACAGAATATACTGTACATGTCATATTATTATCTAGAGTTGAAAAATCTAGTGCTACAAGGGGAAATTCAAGGAGAGAATTGGGATGCGAGACGTCATTTATGCCACATACAGTGATAGTTTGTGTACTGCAAAATGTGTGTAAAAAATGTAGATGGATTTCAATTTTAGCCCAATTTCAAGTAAAAAAAAAAAAATCTAGATAATGTTTTTAATAATTCATGCATGAAAGATTAAACAGAACAGATGGCTTGCACCAACATTAAAAACTCTCTCTCGCCTTTGAACGGTCAAATAAAGAAAATATTCAGTGAATGTTTTGGAGGGAACACTTACATGGTTACAGTCAGGAGCAATCTCTGTTTCCTGCAGAAAGACAAAGAAAGAAGTCAAAAGTTGTTTTTCTCAAGGGAATTCAAACATTTATTAACAAACTGACACATGGTAAAAAAAAACATCTGGACTAAACAGTGAAGTTTGATTAGATTCCTCATCAGGAGATGGAAATTCTTGAGATGTGCTGCAGCTTATCTGACAGTTAAACCCCACTTTTACCCACTTCAACATTCAAGAAAAATATACTTATTGGCTTTCTTTCTGAGAGTCAGATGATAGGATTGAGACCAGTCTCATGTCTGTGCGTTAAACAGAGCTGACCAAAGTAAAAAAAAAAAACAACAACAAACATATTGTATCTAGTTTAATCTGTACTCAAACAGAAAAACACTTGTTTGTTGTTTGGGTGCATTAAGTGGTGTAGATATTTCTTGGCACAGAAACCAAAACCTGTTCTCACAAACTTTATCTGGCAAGCTGCGCTACAGTCTGAGCCACAACACAGAAGTCCTGGGTGTGACTTGCCCTTAAACCATACATTTTTACATTTCTGCTTGTGCACAGATTAAACAAATAAAATATAATGGGTTAATAAGTGAGTTTAAGTGGCACCTGGAGGCATATTTTTGAACTTTGGACAGACACCAAACCAGAGGAGGCTAGGCATAGGCTAGGTTAGTTCATTTTTAACTGAAAACACTATCACACACAACACAACCAAACCTGCCTTGTTTACATGTTATCGTCTTGGTAGGCAGCATGTTTTGCTGGCGCAGTAAGGACTGTGCACCTCAGGCAGAACTACGTGTTAGATTTGGAGCGGTTAGCATTCATAGTTTAAACATTACAGAATTAAGAATAAAGTCTGTGCTGAATATAAACTGCATTTTTCAATTGATTTAATTTTTTTAATTTTCAGGTATAAAGTTATTAATTTCTGATGATAGCTCAAAATGTAATTTTAACGTAAACCAAATTTATTTATTGGATTATTTTATGGATATCAGGTACCGATCTTTTAATAAAAAATGTTATATAAAAATTGCACACGAGAATTTTACTTTTTTGTACAATAATTATAAAATCAATTACTTTTTCAGTTCACTAAAAAAATACTTTTCCTTTGGGGACACAATTTGAAATTGGAAAAAAAGGTAATAAATTGCAATATATCGCAATGTGTTTAAAATCGCAATAATATCGAACTGTGACATAAGTATCGTGATAATATCATATCGTGGTTCCCACCCCTAAAAAACAGCCCCTCAAACAAAGAGAGATGGAGGACATTTTTAAACAGGAGAAGAAATCTAAAACATAGTGAAATTCTACCATATGTACTTTTTAAAAATTCATTTTAAATCTCAGAAAAAATCCACATGATACAAGGCCTGTTCTGGGCAAGTTCCTGTATATAAGCAAATACATACTGCATAAAGCAAATGTTTTGCAGAATCAAGCTCTTTGTGAATGTGTGCATGTGACAAAGAAATAGAGACAGAATAAATGCATACACAATCCTGCCTGTTAAGTCAAACCTGTCAGCCTTTGCACAGAGGTTAAATGAGTCTTAATCTTCATGTGTAACTGTGTGAGAAGTCAAACACGGTAAGTGCATTTCCTGGACTATTCCTTTAGTTTGCATAAAAAAGACGAGACCTCGAGAGCGCACAAGGAAAATAATACCACTATCACGTCAAAATGACGACTACAGTGACATTTTCCTCTAAAAGGCAGTAGTCTGATATGAACAAAGCAGCAGACGCTCTTCACAGACTCTCCCACAACATCCTCGACTATCAGAGGAAACACAGTGGGAGAAGCTGTTCTTACGTTTCACTTTGCAGTAAAAAGACACAAACGCACTTCATGTTAACTCTGCTCTGCCTGGGGAACAGAGACAAAAACTGTCTTTAAACCGTAATTTCCACTAAATGTTTCAGAGGCAGAAAAACAAGCGTAAAAAGGGAAACAGACCCTCAGTGGCCTTGTAGATAAAAAAGACCAATTAGTAAGACTATGAGTTATTATTTAACGAAGACTTGATCCATTCACATCAAAGGCTTTTGAACCCAGAGCAGATTAATCAACTAGACTGATGAAACTGAAGTGATAACACAGGCTAACTGTGTCTGAGCAAGGGGAAAGGACAATGTGACAAAACTCTGTTTATATCACAGGAAACCTAATACGATACACTCAAGACCAAAAGTTGGCAGAGTCACACTGACCTCTGTACAATCTGTAAGAACTGAGACTACTCTCCATTAAATTAGATTCCTCATCTGTCGAATTCATACTCCGGAAACAAAGACAAACAGGGGCGGCTGCGGCTCAGAGGGTAGAGCTGTCGTCCACTGTACCGGATCAGTGTCTAATATTTCTGAGGATCTATTGACAGAAATGCAATATAAGATCCATAACTATGTTTTCAGTGGTGTGTAAAGACCTGACATAATGAACCGTTATGTTTTTATTACCTTAGAATGAGACATTTATATCTACATAACCGTGGGCGCCCCCTGCTGTGAAGGTCGCTGTATTTTGTCTCCATGTTTCTACCGTAGCCGACAACGAACAAACTACAGAGCGCGTTTCGTCATCACGGCGTTCTTCTTCTGCTTGTGTAATTACGGTAGTGTAGACGCCCGTCACTACATTGAATACGAACAAAGAAGAAGAAGAAGAAGAGGGACTAATAATAATAGTAATATACAGTCTCCGAGTATTGTTCTGGTTTATTAGAAATAAGAAGAGAAGTGACATTTGGACAAATGAAGGAGCACACAGGTGTTATTTAGCACGAGAGCCGACAGCCAGACGGAGTCAGGACAGACAGCTGACGGCAGAAATCACAGATTTTGTGGATTTTCCCAGATGGAAGGCTATAACGTTAATGTGGGACAGATGTTTTCAAAGCTGTGCTGAAGTGGTCTGTTTTCTGCTGTTTGTCAGACTTTAGCGCTGCAAATGAAAACTGTTGTTTGAGAGCTTTAGCTATTAGCTGGCCATAATCACAGAGAGCCCCGACATGTTTCCCCTGTCAGTGGTGTGAAATATGGATTAATTTCATGGCGCCAACTTATTCTCCAGCCTGTGGTTTGGCTTTGCCGGTTACTTAGCGAGAGAATCAGCTGATCAATCAGCTGATCAGTAACGTTAATTGGCAATAAACCCCTAATGTTAGTTTAGAGCATGGAAGCATCAGCCAGCTAAACTTTTACTGCCCTGGTAGAAAACATTTCTTTTTACTGCTAATGGTGATATATAACAAGACCGTGTGCCTATCAAGTGACCACTAATAAATACTTTCCAAATCTGCATTAAAAAAAACTTACTGGATATTGATTCCCACTCTTATATACACTCTTCCCACTTTTTATATACAGTCTATGTTCCCACTGTGCACACAAATGTGTAATTTGTACTTTCACATGCTACATGTCCATTAAAAACGTTGCACCGTTTTACCACAAGCTGAAATTATGGCTGTCAGTACTACTTTGTATTTCTGTTGTATTTCAAAAAATTAAAATAGACATTTTGGTAATATTTGCAGATTGCTTATCTAATTAATCTAATTATGCCTTTGTAAACTTCATGTATTATGTGGTTTATAATGGACTGTGGTGCAGAAACAGTGAGGCTTACATTGTCCTGGTCAGTGGTCATACTTGATGCACTAGATGTGATAGTGTTTGGGAATTTCTTCATTTACTTTGGTATGTTAGTCCAAAGAAACCTCATCTCTTGACTGGCACTCTCTTTTATCTCATAGATGACATCTTTGTCCTGTCTCAGGCACCGTAGCTATACTGCTCACTAGAACCTACACGCTGAACCTTTAACCGAACAAAAGGTTTATTGATCTGTGAATAAAAGTCATTTAAATGAGTATCTGTAATGTGAAAGAAGTTTTATCCTCTTTTTAGCTGATTTCTTTTGTTGTGTAAATAATAATAATAAATGAATAATTTTTCCGTCTGACTTTCAAAAACTTCTGGAGGCTTAAAGAGTTACAACTGTTTTTAAAAGGAAAAGGCAATGATTAGAAAAAAAAGAGTGAAATATAAACACGATTTTGTGTAGCTGGATGAAAAAAACAAAACAATATTCCTCTATTTTACTAGTTTGGAGGATTAAGTGATCGGACAAATGCATGCCGAGCGCTGAATACGATTTAGCATTAAAATATTATCATTTAGTTTTTATTTGTTGACTTAAATTGTAATACATTTTGTCATTTTCATCAAGGTTATTTTTGATTTAGTTTGAGTCTAGTTTTCATCATGAACAATAGGTTACTATTACTATTTGTAGACGAAATGAACACTGTTTCCTACTCTGATAATTCATCTTGTGAGCAAGGTGTGTGATATTGCGATTAAAAGCCAATATCTGCATGTAGTGAAAGAATCACAGCCAATCACAATGAAAATGTTGGCGACGGAGTACAAAGCTGCTCTCACAGAAAGCAGCCGACTCTGTGAGGCAGACTGAAACTGCTCTGCAGTCCACACAGCATCCTTACACACAGCAAGTGACGGACTGACTCAGTGACCACGACTGAAAATGTCCACAGGACCTGTTTGTGCTGTGGCAAAGTGACTTCCTGTCCAGCAGTTAGTCCGTAACTGCAGTGCTGTTTCTCAGCCGTCTCTCAAGTGTCAGATTTCAGGGCTTAGACCGCCACAAATAAATACTCAAACGCTGTACTGTAACCGCACGCTGCATCACTGCCAGTGCTGCTGATGTCTCTGTGTCTTTATCTGGAGAAAAGGCAGATTTATAAGAGTCATTCACCTCTTCAGGAGCCACAGCTGTTATAGAGTGATGTAATTATCTCAGTAAAGACTCAGGGCTGGTGGTGGAGGAGGAGTGTGTGTGTGGCTGTTGTCAGCATGGTGGGGGTGGGCGGGTGGGGTTGACGTCAATTTGATGTCGGGATCCTGGGTTAAAAATAAACCCTGCAGACCACCATTAGACTAAACATGAATCCTTTGAATATGTTTAATTGCACATTGGTAACACTTTACTTCAACCTCCCACTTTAGCATCTATGATAGACTGTAACCACAGACTGTATAAAAGACAATATAAACATGTAATTAATGGGTTATTACACACTGTAATGTAGCTGTAAGCAGGTATGAGGCCACTTTTAAAGAGTTTATTAATATTTTCAACTATTATAACTTCTCCTGTGAAGACATATTTAATAAAACTGTTTTTCTATATGATCATTCATTATGTGTGTATACAGCAGCCTCCACTTTTTGGTGCTTCACAGGAGGAGCCGATTACAATTACATTAATTAACACTAATTATAGGGTGATATAAACCATTTCTTAAATGTATATAGAAGCAGCAGAATAACTTGCTCAGAAATCTACTTACTACTGTTGAAATTATGAAGACCACTGAATTTTTATCTCTGAAATATTTTATTTTCAAAATCATGTAGCTAAATGTATGAAAATGAATAAATGTGGTTCTTTTTCAGTAGGATCATTTAAAATGGTGCAATTTCCAAAACTTGGTCTTTGTTGTTCTTGGTGTGGTGTGTGATTTAACTATGCGATATATTTTCTTATATATTCAAGTTGATAAAATTCAAGAAATTGTAATTAAGACGAAATCCAAGATTCAAAATTCAAAGCTTGAACAAAGATACTTCTTCCTCTTGTGTTTTAGACGTTTGGATGACGAGACTTACAAAACAAAAAAATTCTTTAAACATTGAATTTTGGTGTCTGAATTTAACTAGTCCCATTTGAGAATCAAAATTAATTTGAGCCACTTGAACACAGTTGGCACCACTTTAAATTCCCTACATGTTTTAGAGAAGGAAATTTAACTCAAACAAATGTAAAATATTCCAGTGCTATAAATGTGTGCAGTTTTGGTTAAATTAGATAATTATGAGACTCAAATTATAACAGCTAGTATTTGCTTCCAAAGATGTTTAACATCGTTGAGGAAACATTTTGTTTTGCTTCACAACATAAATAAAACAAAACAGATGTAATTGTTCTGCGTAGTTGTTTCCTTGTTGGTGCAGATGGATGTGTAATCCAACTCTCACTGTGTGTGTGTGTGTGTGTGTGTGTGTGTGTGTGTGTTTGATTGAGAGAGACAGAACTGGACCGATTAAACTGCGTCAAATCACAACTGTCATCATCATATCGTCTTTCATCGTCTTCGTCCAATAGATCAGAGTCCAAAACTCTGAAGGTGAAGACACATCTGTAACGTTAAACTAAACATCATTGATTATTTGTTGAATTGAGGCCTGCAGCTCACGATACTTTTTAATATGAATCTGCAGAATATTTTCTCAGTGAATCAATCCATCTCAAGTTCCTTAAGCACACAAAACTGCTTGTTTTATTCAACCAACCAAAGATCATGTTTGAGACACTGGAACCAGAGAACGGTTGACTTAAACAATTAGTCCATCGTTAAAAGAGTCAAGTCAATCACAAATCTGCCTCAAGATGCTTTACAGTTTTTACAGCGCACGACACCCTCTGTCCTTAGACCCTCAATTTCAGATAAAAATTTAGGAAATATCAGGACGAGCAAAAGAGGAGGGATCCCTCTTTAAGGATGGACACATATGTAATAATGTTGTGTGTACAGAGCAGGCCAAGATACTAAAAGCACAACATCAGGGTGGCAACATTATAGATTATAGTAAACACACCTTATATGAAGAATATGGACAAGTAACGTTTAACACGGGAGTCAGTTTGATAAACCAAATGATATATCTGTCTGAAAGTCCTGGCTGCACACACTAACTAAACAAGTGGACGACTCAACGCTGCCGATCGTTCGATCACTTAAAGATATAAAATGCCTAAAAACAACTAGACCTAACATGTTATATATTTTGTTGAGTTGTGTACTAACGTTATCCCAAATGTTTCCAACAATGTTCCAACCTAGAGAAATCAAAAGTCATTTTAATCAAGGTAACGGTGCGTTTACTTTAGTATATCCCCCTTATGCATGTGTCACAGTTTTGGTTGTCTGCCAGAAGCTGTCATAAATTAACTCTTTATCAATTTTTAAGCCACATTTTTTACAATACATCTTTTAGATCTTGTTCATTTTTAACTATTTCTTTGAACCAGATGAAGGATTTTATTTATTGCATGTGTGGATCTTAAGTTATGAGAGAAACAAACTGAGCAAACGCAGCGTCCTGTGTCTGCCAAACAGTGTTGGAGAAACACAGATTTTTATTGTGAATCTGGTTTATTCAGGGCTTCTACCAATTTTATTCGCCTGGTCTGTTTGTTTTGGAGAGAAGGAGAGCTCTGCATGTAATTCGGCCCCTGGGAAACTCCCATTAACCCACGCTGCTTCACAAAGTCATCAAATTACCTCTTTTGTTGTTGTTTAGATGTGAGAGACCCCAGAAGCAAAATTACACACTGAGCGTTTAATCGTTTCAGCTTGATCACAGTGATTTATGTGATAAAACCCTCCTCACGTTCACTTCCCAAAATAATAGATAATGGAAACTCACTCTTGTTGAAAATATTTAGTTTACATTTTTTATCACAAAGAAACACAAAAAAAGCAGGAAGAGTCTGTGGTTTTAAGTTCACCCTGAGAGTCACCTGACAGCTGAATGACTGCGCACATGCTGAACTCGGGTTGATAATTACTTCACTGAGGTCGCAGTAAGCAGCTGAACTGTGCAGTGCAGGTGGGAACACCTCAAACCACATCAAAACGTTCCCTTAAGCAGAATAGTTAGCTTTTGAGATGACGTTGCAAGTTGTACAGATGGTGTAGGAGTAGATCTGACTGATTTTAGGCCAACAAAATAATATAATACAATCAAATACCAGAATAAATTATTCAATGTCTGCAATTTGTTTTCATTATACATTAACCTATTTTCAGAAAATAGAAAGCCGGGGCTCAAAGTGGCGTCTTCATATCAGAGCTATTGTTCAACGGTCCAAATCACAAAGACATTTAATTTACAATCAAATAAAACAGAGAAAAGCAGCCAATCATCACAGTAAAAAGGACAATGTTTGGCATTTTTGCTTGAAAAATAACGTTTTAATGACAATTAATCAATAATTATCAAAACGGATTAATTATATCTCCAGCTGATTTTTTAAATCCTGGCAGTGTGGAGTGGACCCTGAAACAGCATTCGGACCATCATGTTAGGAATTAAAATTTACAGACAGTCTAATTGAAAAGTTAATATTAAAATCAAGAAAAATCTAAATACATGTAAATACATGTTTACATGTAAACATGAGAAATTAAAGACTCCTTTAACTGTTTATGTTATTGTTTTTAACATCAGTAACTTTTGTAAACTATATTTTACCTGTTTAAATGTCAAACTCATTACATACTGTGTTTAAATATGCCTGTAATGTTGGTTTTACATCTAATGTCACTCAATTCCAATAAACCATCATTTATTGTAGCTAAAACCAAATTTTGCAGAGTTGCTACAGCTGTCAGATAAATGTTGTGGAATAAAATGGAAATACTCCGAAGTGCATATTACTACATGTGTGAAAGTTACTCTTGCATCATTCATCTCATGTTTTTGTGGTCAAAATATAGACTAATATCTGAGGTATAAGACAGGTAGTGTATGAAATTAGGAGTATAAATAAGAAAATAAATAAATAAATGTGTGTGTGTGGACACACTGACGCAAGTGTAGATGTTCACCTCTCCATCAGCTGTTCACCTCTGCATCAGTGTCATGCTGTCCGCCGGTGGGGACCTAAACCACCGGGGCGACACACCCAGCAGGTGCCCGTCACCTCACGGACCCCCACCAGCCCTGCCGGCGGCCGCTTACCTCTCTGCGGTCCTGCAGGCACTCCAGCACGGCCAGGTTGTTAGTCCAGGTGTGTTTGGGGCAGAAGCGGGTCAGGTCCTCCCGGCAGGCCTCCTCCTCCGACAGCTTCCAAACGGTCGCCCTTCGAGGCTGCGAGGCCCCAGCGGCGGCGGCGGCGGCGGCTGCGGCGGCGGCGGCGGCGGCAGGTGCATCCTTGACCGCGGGATCAGCGACTCTGAGGACGGGCGGGTTGGGCGGCTCGGCCGGGCCGCTGGCAGCCTTCAAGCCGAGGACGGAGCCGGAGCCGCAGAGACACAGTAATGATAACAGCAGCAGCAGCAGCAGCAGCTGAGTGCGACTGTACGCCGCCATCTTCACACCACTGTCGAGCTAGTCCTAATGATACTGCATCACTTCCGGTCTGCAAGTTCACAATAAAAGTATTCATGGGCAGACTAAATATAGCCTGCAACTTCCGGCCATTTAATAAAAAGAATGAACGTCACAATGTAATTTACTATGAAGCGGATCAGCCGTAGTTTCCCGCCTGTGTAATGTGCAACCATTGTTTTTGGGCTTCACATAGGCCTAGTTTTTGTAGTAGCCTGCAGCATAATCCAAAAAAAATGATGAAAATTTAAAAATTAAATAAATATGTTGGATGAAAACCTTAAAAAGCTGAAAATAAGATTAATTTAGATAAGTTACATGAACCTGAAAATAGAAATGTAACATTTGACACAAGTGTGACACCTAGAACTTTCTTTGCCTGTAGGAGGCAACATTACCTCTACAAACTGCTGCTATAATAAGGTGCGTTTGACTCATAGGTTTGACTTCGTGCGGCTTTTCGCAGCACCCGGCTTAATGTGATGCATGCTGGTTAGAAATTTTCTCTGACTTTCGTGGTACAGCAAAACATCACTATGTTGCATGACATTAAAACCTGGCAGGAGCAAAGCGGCTGCTTTTCTCTGGCTGCACCAAGTTGAAACTCCTTTTGCCGGCAGCTCACGTATGACTATCAAGACTATTAAGTCACCTGTTACTTTCCTTTCCAGTAGGTGGTGCAGATTGTCAGGTGTAGAACAGGTCGGTCGATGAAACAGCTCCACCTTGTAGTGACTCTGTAACCTGCTAAACATGAGCGATTGAGTTGTGAGTGATTTACTAGAGAGGAAGAAAGACAAATGGAGTTAACAGACCCTACAATCAAGGCCGTCAATTTTTGCTGTTAAGTGGTGGGGACATAAGGGCTCAGATTAGGCGCGTGATGATACACTTGGGTCACGAGACGATGTACAAGAACAAGACGAGAAGATTTTTAACACTATTTTTAAAGAAATAGGAAATGCTGAAATAGGTGAGTGGGGGTCAGGAGGTCCTCCCCCAGAAAATTGGAGCACTAAACACTTAATTTCCTGCATTCTGGAGACATTTTCTGCTCTAATTTATGGTGGAAATGTCTTTATTTATATGAAGGGAAACAAAAACACAATAACAGATATAATTACAGAATAAAATGCAGCAAACAGCTGCTTGTTTTTTTTTAGCTTAAGTTACTTTTTTTTTTGGACAATCTGTTTCTTCTATATTTAAAATGCACTGCATGTTTTCTTTTTGTGCAGCTAAATCACATTTCTTAATGTAAAATAGACCCACGTTTTAATTTTGGTTAAGCATTCATTTAGTTTATTTTTTTATGTTCAAATGTGAAATGTGAAATTTGTTGTACAAGCAGAGACAACTAGATGCTATAAGAGAAAACTATACAGGAAGAGCATTCGTGTGTGTGTGTGCATATATCTCCCTTCACTCCCAGGGTGTTTGAGCAGCTGAATACAATGGGAACCAGTAAGAGCAATAAATCCTCCCTGTTTAGAGCTGACAGCTGCTGGAAGGCTTTTTCTGGTTCACCACCGCCAACCCATCCGTCCTGCTCTCAGAGTTAGTTACAACCTTTATTTTGAAGGTATTTCATGTTGGGCTTTTTTCTTTTTACCTTTATTCTGACACTTCTCTCATTAAGCTGCATTTGTATTTAGATAGTTGTTTTTTTTGCGAATGAGAATCTATTTGAGTCAGTTAAGGTTAACATCAACAATTTCCACAGTTTTGAAAAGCCAGTTCTTTGTTATATTATATTGCTGGCTGTGGCATAAGTTACAGCATCTTTTGACTTACAACCAAATCAAAAATCAAATCAAAAAATCAAAAAGTCAGATCTGGAGATTTCAGTTTGTAAATAATATCTTTTAATGTATTTTATCTTAATTTTATCATTGTATCAAATGAAGCTTACATCTAAATGTGATATTTATATTTTTATATTGTTTTATTTTTTAGTAAGTCTCAAAACTCTTATTACTTTGTCATATTTCTGTTCCAACACACTTTTTGCTATTTGACTTTGATGCTTATGTGAGTCACTATCAAGCAAGATTTTACAGCTATGAATGAATCTCTGGTGAGTTCCCTTCACTGTCTGTGAAATAGCAGGAATGAAAGAAACACACAGGCGGATGAGCAGTCAGCTGTTACAGACTACAGCTGAGCTGAGTCAGAGCAAACCAAAGACAGCAGCAGAATCCCTCCACAGTTTAGGAAACTGAGCTTTCATTGTATTTAGAAGATCATGTGTTGGCTGGTTTTAGGTTCTCTTCAAACATCACAGATAGTTCTTTATTAATATCAGGCTTTATCTCCTGATAGCTGAGTTGTGTTTTTAACTTCACATTCAGTGATGAATTACCTTCCTCTCTTAAAATCAGAACACAGTGTGATAGCAATTTACAGTTTCCTTAAGGTTTTACTTTTACACAAAAAAAGACAAAAACCAATGCTTAGTGCATCACACCCAGGACATCCTTGTAAAAGAGATTAAAAATCTCAATGGATTTCTTTCCTGGTAAAATAAAGGTAAAATAAAAAATAAATAAATAGTGTATTTCTAAATACTTTCTGTCGATCACTCAGCTCAAAGCCCGCTGGTTCCTACCGAAGAAGTAGTTATTTAAAAACAGCTCACAAACTGTGTAGTTTCAAAACTGCTCGCTGTACTTTTATAATCAAACAAACAGGAGGAACTTGTGCATTTGTTGGGGACTATTTTCAGCGGTGGATTAATTCACATTTGGTGCTCTAGTGAGTGTTTGGGGCAGCAGGATGGTACAGGGAGTCAGAAAAAAAACTACAGTGTGTGTTTGTGGTGATGAAGGAACATGTCACTCAGTGCAGCACTGAGGCTCATTTATGTGTTTTAATAGTTTTAGGACAACAATGGAGCTCTGTGGCACAGAGGAAGAAGATATATCAGGCTTTGACACACACAATATTTCATTGTTGTTTTTGGTCTTTTTGTGAGATTCGTTGACAATGAGACAAATCTAGAATATTGCCAACCCGATCCTTTAACCAAGCTAGTTTGAACTATATCTGAGTCCTAGTCTTGGTCCTATATTGTCTAAAAATGCTGCCAGAAGAAAATTCCTGAAGCGTTTGTTCGAGGCTCAGCTGCCGCCATCAGCATCTCTGTCTGGAATTCAACCAGCAGCTTCTGAGGACATCTGCTACTGTTCCATCACACACACACACACACACACACGCTGAACCAACACCTATAAACAGACCAGAAAGCTGTGGTATTCCCATTTATCTCTCTTCTGCAGGCAGGAATCAGCGGCAGTCAGGATGGCAGAGTAAGTCCTCATCTGAACTGAGGAGACTTTCTGAATCTACAAAACTCTCTGAATCACTCTTAATCATTTTACTTCTTCCTGTATTTTTTCTAAAGGAAGAAGATGTCGTCGTGCCGGAGGAATCAGCTGAAGGTAGAGTAAGATGGTGTTGTTGAAGGCCTGAAGTGTTTTTCCTTTTCAGATTTGTGTTTAAAAACAGAACATTTATGTCATAAATTCACTTATTCGCTTACTGTACCTGCAGTAAAAGCAGTTTACTTTACTTAGCTAGTATTTTATGGGAAAATATGAAAACAATGTAGTATAACAGCAAGATACTTGATATAAAATGATACAAACAAGAAGTTTACAGATGTTGTTTTGCACACACGGTAGATTTAAGTTTTTAGAAGGAGCGTATTGCCGGGCAGCTGTCACTGTTAAAAGAACTGAACAACAATCAACAGGATCCATGAGGCAGAAACTGGAGTAATGAAATTCATGAAACTGTAATTTTTAGTCCAACAAATAAATAAATCATGTGATTAATTTTGGACCTACAAACACACTTTATGGGGATGTTGGTCAGTTGGTTCCCAATCTTTTCTGCCTTGTAACCCCTTAAAACAAAGCAATACACTCACAGCTGCATGTATGTGGGTTATGTGTGGCAACCAAGAAGTGATTTATTTATTCTTTTTTCCTGTTTCATTTAAATAATATTCAGAGAATTGTAAGGGTAAGATCATCAAGTAATTCACAAGATATTTATTTATTCATGATTATTTCTATTACTTTTTGGTAGATATTCATTTACCAAGACTCCTGATGTGTTTTATTTGACATATTCCCCTATGAATATGAGAAATCTACTTGGATGACCCCCTTAAAGTTTGCTAATAATAATAATCATGCTTCCATTTTTGACATTTATGAAGCAAAAAACATCCAAACGTTTCCTGATTCCAGCTTTTTCAACATGAGCATTTGCTGCTTTTCTCTGTTTTGTATTATTCAGGAAACTGTGATGGAATGCTTCATTATCTTCTGACATTTAATAAACTAAACAATTAATAATAATAATTATTATTAGTTGTAGTCCTGTACTGTTTATTTCAGACTTACTTGTTGCAAGACTTCCATGAAATTAGCTGAGCACATAAATATTTGTAGTCCTTTAACTGGTGAGGGAAGTATCAGAATTTATTTTATTCTTTTTAAATGAGTTTTATGTTATTTCTCTGATGAAGGCTGTTCTCTAAAGATCATTTTTACAGGATCATTTTTACAGGAAGCCAACACATTCACAGGAAGTAAAATCAGAAAAAAATATAATTGCACTAAAAGAAATAGACTATTTTCTTAAACCTCCCCATGTTGGGGTGTAATGACTGTTTTAGCCTCTCTGAGATTCAGCATATTTCTGTTCTGTGACTACACATACATACAAACAGTAGAAGTGGGGTATTTACGCCTGTCACAATACTAAACTCTGAATATCATAGCAAACACATTAACACTTGATGAAGCCTTCACCTCGTCGTGGTCATGCTCTCTCTTCCTCTTCCTCTCAGAGCTTGCTGCTGCACATTGGTGCGGGGATGCTGGAGGAGGAGGTGCGGATGGCCGAGGAGGAGAAGATGAAGTACATGGAGGAGAGCTGCCCCACCCTCTCTGTCCCAGGCTCCATGCAGGAGCTCCAGGTAATCCTGCACTACCTCCTGGACACTGGGTGGAGGCCAGAAACACAAACCACAAAAACATGGCTGATGTTAGTCTCGACAGGTTTACAGAACTGATATCCACCATCTGTTCATATTCTAAGCTGAATGTTTTTGGCAAGTAGTTCATTACAATGGTGCTCGACTCTGGTGCCCCAGTGGGAAAACAAAAATCCTATGGGAGTTCTTAAACACAAATGTTGTTACACTCTACTTTTGTTAAGATAAAGTGGTGTTTTAATTTGGAACCACAGACCAGTAAAATCCACTGGAGACACTTTTCAATTATTAGCCTACAGTATGAACAGTGCAATTATTTCTCCTTAATCGCTTCTCTATACTACTTCATCTAGGGAGTTACCATTGCCTCTTGTGCAAATAAATATAGTTTTTCGATTGCTTAAACACATTTCTTGAAATTATGCCTCTTTTTCACAAAACACTAAACACAAAACCACAACTTCTCAACCAATTCCCCAAACATCATATTTTCAGGTCAAAATGAAGCTCTCCACTCAAAACCATTCAATCTTGCTGAAAAACCAAACTTTGCCCTCAGACATAACACACAAGCCCTCAAAAAACACACACAGTCTTACACACTGGTGAGATGAATTCAAAACAATACTACAAAAACGGGTTGTAATGTTGCTTGTGGTTCTCCCCCTCAAAAACTTTTGCACATGATGAACACAACAAAAGAAATTACAAATGTAAACATTTGCACATATTTTACTTCTTAGTGTACTCTTACTCCTCTCCATACTGCTCTTCTTCCTTCTCCTCCTCCTCCTCCTCCTCCTCTCTGGTGTCCTACACCTCTTCCTTCAGATTTCTCTGGATCCATTGTTCCAAAACTGAATGAACTGACTCTGGCCCTTTTATCTATCTATTGAAGGTTCTGATTGGTGTGTTATCAATTATGACTCTTTGTGTTTCCACCTGGATAGCTGTGTGCTAATTGAGCTCAACCTGTGCTGACTTGAGTGAACAATATTGAATGTTAGTCTTTTCTCAGTGACCACATGGTGTAGGCAATGAGAAATGAAGGGATTTGTGTGTAGAGTTTAGAGAAATGGGTGTAGCTTTTTGAAAAATGAAATGAAGTTATGGTTTTGAAATTTCCTCTTTATATTGTTTAAGCAATTGAGAAAAACTGTAATAAATTATAAATATAATTGCGATTGAAGTTGTATTCAATAAATATCTTTATTAACAAAGGATAAAATGACTTCATGCTGTTCTCCTGAGCTCTGCAGAGCTTTTTAGCATCTTGCAGCTAATTTCTTTGGTTTAACAAATCAACTGATCCCTCAATATTTCTGAATATGATTTTGATTCTCATTACGTCCCACTATTACGTGTTTTTTGTTAGGCTGCAACCTATAGTGACAGAAGAAGTCAGGTGATGTAGTATGAAGAGCGACGTTTGTGGGTGAATGGGTCAAGTAAACTCAGGACTTTCCCACATGAGACCAAGGTTCAAGTGAGAGCCGCTAGGTGAAAGAAAGTCAAAGTTTACATATTCATGTATTTAAGATAAATAACACTTTGTAAGTTACGACACACAACAACATTTCCCTCAGAAATTTGTGGAGGCCAAGCTAAAAGGAGAGTGAATATTGGACTTCATCATTCATCAGGAGCATTACTCCAAACTAATAATTATGTTGTTCCATATTTGCTTGATGGATAAATAAGGAAGTATTTGCAAACATCCAAAACTTAGTAATAATATGTCAATGTTGAAATTGTAGCTTGTTCTTCTGCTGTATTTCAAAAGCCACCTATGTCCTGGAATGAATCGCCTGCTCAGGATGTTAGTATATGTGTGAGAGTAGTTTGTATTGAAGACTCATCCTTCACTTCCCTCTTTTCATATCTATCACTACATCAGGAGCTGTGCCGGAAAATTCACAAGGAGATTGATTTCGTGGACGAAGAGCGATACGACATGGAGATCAAAGTGAAAAAGTCCAATAAGGAGGTATGTTGACTAAAGTTTACACCAGTGTCATTCAATTTCTATACATTCTTGGCAGTCAGATGCTTTTTCTGTCTATTTTAATGCAGGTTTGAACTCCCACTGAATTCAGTAATCAATTTAAAACAGCTCAGAGACAAACTGACTAACAGTTACACCATGTTTTATTCACATTAACAGGGCTGTTTATAGTAGCCAACACTACAAAGTTTCACAAGGCTAAACTACACTTAATTTGCATTTTGAAGACAACCCATGCCATTTAAGCAGACCACATGTTTTTAGATAAACGCACAGATGGTATGAGTAACTGTCTTCTCTGTCAGATCGACGACCTGAAATTGATGATCCAGAATCTGAAGGGGAAGTTCCATAAGCCGGCCCTAAAGAAGGTTCGGATGTCGGCCGACGCCATGCTCGCCGCTCTGCTGGGCTCCAAACATAAAGTGTCTATGGACCTGAGAGCCAACCTGAAACAGGTCAAGAAGGAGGTCAAAGAGGAGGTGGGTGCTTCAGATTTTACATTGGACACTGAAGGACAATTACAGCACGATTACATTTTATTTTGGTTTAATTGTTTCCTCTTCCTCCTCTGATTTCTATGGTTTCATCTCTGAAGTCAAACTTTAGCTCAGTTAGCATTAAAATACACAACAGAGAGCATTTCAGATTATAAAACAAGGGAATAAAGCAACTGAACAGACTGAACCGTTATGATTCCACATGCAGAAAATATTAAGAGGGTCTCAACCATTTATTGTTAGTAATTTTAATCTGTCTGCTGCTTTCCTTCGCGTGTGTTTCTCTCAGGAGAAGCAAACAAGCGACTGGAGGAAGAACATCGAAGACAAGGCCGGGATGGGCGGCAGGAAGAAGATGTTTGAGACAGAAGCTTAAACACCAGTGTCTTGCTCTGCTGTTCAAGGATTCAAGTGTTTATTGTCAGATGTTCAAGTTTCCATGTACACTGAAATTCTTACTTTGCTGTCCACATCAAATGCATACAGTAAAAATAAAATAAATGGATAAATAACATACAATAAATACAAATATAAAATGAGCTGAGAAAATATAAAAAAAATGTAAAAAAAAAAAGTAAACATCAGATGTAAAAAAAAGTAATAACAAATATATACACTTCATCGCTGCGCAGACAGACGAATTATAAACAGTGTACAACTGATGAATTAAATACATGATAACTTATATACATGTGGAAATTGTGCATGGAGAAATGTGCAGATGAACATGGGCATGGTAGAGTTTAGAGATGGGTGTGATTATGTAATCCACACGCCACACTGCTGTTTACAGGAATGATTCATTTCTGTGTATTATGTGAGTCCGTGGTGTTGGATGTTTGTATAAATGATAGAATATATAAATCATGCGGCGTTTTTGTGTGATTCATGGTGATAATTTGATAAATCATGAAATAAGTGTGTAGATCAATATTCACACATTTCAGGACTAAGGGTAGCACTATGACGAGTAAAATCTTGCAATTAAAAGAACAAAAATGAAATAAAACAAAATCCAATACAATAAAGTTAAAAAGAATTAAATAAACAAATAAAACATATTAAACATATTACAAGTGTAACAATAAGACTGAGGCCATTAACAACAGGCTTTTAAAAATATTTTTTCAGAAGTGATTTATATACATACATTTATTATCATAATTCATTTGCTTAAGTAATTACTTTTGTTCCTTTGCTGTCAGACAAACAGTGGTAACACTGATGTGGTATATTTTGTGTTAGGGTGCTGTTTAAGATTTGTGGGTCATTTTTTATTCTTGACAGTCATGTTGGATTATCAATTTTAAAATAGGTCCTGCTTGATTAGCCAATCCTGAGGCCCTGTCTTCAGCTCTGTATCAGACCTTCATTATTTCTTCCAAATTACCAAAAAGAAAAGTCACATTTCACTCAGAGAGAGGAAGCAACAAGGGGGGTTAACAGGAGACCAGAAGCTCATTATTCCCTTAGTGCCCTCGCAAGTTATTTTCAGCCAGCTTAATAGGACGAGAAAAACAACTTAAAATTCAGAACAGCAGAAAATGCTTTTAATTGCACAAACAAACAAAAACCCAGTTCATATTGAGAGGTCCTGCACTAATTTGTGTGTACTTGTCTTTGATATAAAAAGGTGAATAAATGTCGTTACTCCTTAATTAAATCACACTCATTATAGCAGACCTTCTCCACGGAGACATTTTTTATGGGAGAGTGTAAGATTACTTGAGAAATAAATATAATTCTCACACTGAATTGACTGAGTTCACTTCATTCCCAATCATATGCATAACATTTGACAAATACTTTCATTCGTTAAGATGATATTTCAACAAAATAATCTTGAAAGATGATCAGATTCTCAGAGACGTAGCTGCTTGTCTTTCCTCCAGGGGAACAGAGCAACTTTTAGAGCAATGCTGCTGGGCAATGTTGCCGTCAATGGTAACAAGTAAAGATTACTACAGTAACCTCCCTCCCTCGCCGCCCTGCAACCTTCCCTACTGCTATCTGTTCAAAACATAGTCGGACTTGCCACCAGCAAGAATGCCCAGCCACATTGCTCAAAAAGTTGCCCCTTGTATCATCAGCTTAATTATATTTACTCAATACTGTACACATTTGAGGTACCTGTACTTTACTTGAATATTTTCCACATTCTACGTCTACTCCACTACATCTCAAAGGGAAATATTGTACTTTTTACTTTAATACATTTATCTTACTGCTTTAGTTACTTTACAATATAAATAATAAAATCCGGCTTTTACATGAACACATGAGTAATAATAATCTTATCATGTAATGTATACTATTATAGCAGTCACAGGGGACATTTTTCTGCAGTGAGTACTTTTAATTTTAATACTTTTCCTGATTTTACTTACATACTTTTACTTAAGTAACATTTTCAGTGTAGTACTTTTACTTAAGTAAAGGATCTGAATACTTTGTCCACCACTGCTTTCCTCTGTCAAACATTAGAAAACAAGAAAAGCGGTGAAATCCATAGAAATCTATCTGAATGTGCAGGGACAGATTGCCAACATGGAGCACGTACCATTTCAGTTAGTAATTGTGCTTTGCTAGTGCCTACAGTATTACCTTTACCATCAATCAAATTACCACCTTTAATTACTGCTCCAATTACTTAATTGGCAACCTTGTGAAATCCAGCTTTGTGAGTATGAGATTTTAACCGCATTCTAAGATAGATAGGCTAGAAATCATCCCCTTTAATGTACATGAAATATATTTCAACACTATTTTATTACATCAAATCAAAATGAAAATAGGTTTTGTTAAAATATAACAAGTAAACAATACAGTCGTTCTGTTAATGCTGTTTCACAGATTTTAATTTGGGCTAGTCTGACCTCATGTAGTAGACAGATGTATACTGTGTGTGCTGCAGTCAGTTATTGTCTATGTATGTACTCTAATTACTCTGATTTTATTTTATTATTATTATTTTATTATTATTGTGTTATGGTATTTTTGTATGAGTAAGCACATCATGAGCAATGTACAATCCTGAGTAAAATTCCTCATATGTGTACACATACCTGGCAATAAAAGCTGATTCTGATTCAGATTATGAGCTTTGGGTTGCATGTTGCATATTTTTTAAACAGTACTTGAAGTATATGAAGAAGTATTCAGTACAATGTCTGGATAAATATTTCACCCTTTCTTATTTTGTTACATGCTTTCATAATGTCTGACTTAATTTTAAATGACTGTTAAATTTATTTTATTTTAAGACCAAGATGGTGTAGTGCAAGTGAGATGTTTGTGGCTGCAAGAGTAAGGACCTTTCATGCTGTTTTAAGAAACCTAATGTTTAAATTCATGTGCCGGCTTAATGGGTCACAAAATGAAATAATAATGGGCTTAACTAACAAACAGCTAAGTACTACACGCTACCAATCCCGCATGTGGAAACACTGGTGTAATTGTCTCCGGGTAGAACAATGATTTTCTTTTTAAATAATTTTATATATTTTTATTTATTTTTATAACCATGATTTACTATGGATTTTCTTGATGTGTAGGTATGTGTGTATGCATCTGCGTTTTCGGATATGTATTTATGCATTGTTGTGGGTAAGATTTGGACCTTGAGTCTGTAATAAAGTTTTTGATTTTGATTTTGATTGATTATATTTGTTTTGTTTTTTTAAGGTTGACTAAGTAACAGCTGTCCAGGGACTTTACATTAAATTTACATCAGTGTTTTATTAATGTGCACGGTCCTTGCTAAATTAAACTGAATTAAAAACGAGCGTTTTTTGTAATATTTTTTCCTTTTTGCAATAAAGTCACGTGACAGAGCGTGTGACGTCACGAGACCCCGTGACCCGCTGCTGGTGGAAGCGAGCAGAGGAAACTCTCCCATCAAAGACGACAAGCAGGCAGCGATTTGTAAAAGTTTAAAGGACCAAACTCTGTTGTAAGCCACAGCTTCGAGGAACAAGACAAGGCGCTTCGGGTCGCGCTGCTGGACGCGGATCCCCCCCCCCAAAAAAAACAACAACAACAAAGAGACAAAATGACGGCGGCGGTGTTTTTCGGCTGCACCTTCATCGCCTTCGGCCCAGCCATCTCTCTGTTCCTGTTTACCATCGCCCGGGATCCGCTGAGGGTTATTTTCCTCATAGCAGGGTGAGAGTTACTTTAAATTCATCAACGTGGGATTGTAGTTAACTTATCTTCATCACAGCAGCGTGAAACAGACGCTACTGTCCTGTTAATGTCATTAAACCAAGTGTTAACCAGAGCTAGCCTGCTAGCTAACAGACCAACTCATTAGCTGTTAGCTAACGGCATTATTAGGTTCCATTTTCGGACATCCTGCTATTGCGCTTAACCTAGTTTCTTAAACACGCCCTCAGTTGTCAAGCTGTTCAGGCTTGTTCTCACACATATGTTCAGACAACACATTCGATTTTACAGTAAATTTGGAGACAAGAAAAAAGTGCTGTCGAGAACACTTTCAAACTTGATAGACTGCCATAATCTGTCCGATAATGGAGGTGTGGGACTGGGGGCATAAGGCTAACAGTAAATTAGCTTGTTTTATCTGAAACAGGCCAGTGACTATACCAAAGACAAAAAGTGTTAGTAGTAGAATAAGTAGCTTGATGTAGCAGTTTAATTTGTGCTAAAAATAAGTCAAAATCATATATTAATTCTTCTTCTTCTTCTTCTTATTATATATGTAATTGTATCTATTTTTAAGGAGCTGTAATCAAAAGAAGTGAGAAGTTAAGGGAAGTGGGCTTGTGAGCAGGAGGTCGCTAATTTCTTGAATCGACAAATCTTAAAGGTTTCAAAATGTATGTGATTTTTATTGACACTGTCCTTTTTTATATACACACCTCCAATTATACAACTTGACCTTTACATCCATATAAAGTTAAAATGATTTGTAAATTACTTTATTAGACAATCTACAGAAAATTAATCAGAGTTCATTTTGATTATAGATTAAATATATTTTTTAATCAAATAATGCCCAGTGCCTAAAATTCTCTTGTATCTCAGTGCTGAATGCAGTAACCTGATAATGTCCATGGCTATGAAAGTAACATATATGTCCTGCTGTCTAATTCTTTCAGCCTGGTTTTGTATCTGATCCTCAAGTCAGTGTTGTGCCAAAAATGGACAGTCTGTTAAAGTGAATACCCTGTGGGAATTTACCTAATTTATTTAGACTGTAAGGCAGCATCCACATTCAAAGCCATTTAAGACCTTAAAGGTCCCATATTATACAAAATCTACCTCTTTCATGTCTTTTCAACCTAAATTTATGTCCCCAGTGTGTGTAAAGGCCCAAGAATGGATCTGTGTAGCATAGGATCTCCTCCAGCCCTTCAGCACAAGCGGTCGTTCCACTGAGCTAGAGCTGGAGGTTGTTCAGTATGTCTCGCAGAAAATGCTTACGGTTGTGTAAATAGTTTCTGGTTTTCCCTCTGATGTCCTCTGGCTGCTCTGCCTCAACTCTGATTTATGAAGTTTCCTGATGGACAGATCGCTTCACTTGTTGCTAATTTTACAGTAACACCTAGCTGCTGTTATCAGCTAGCTCTGCCTGAACCAACTGTCTAAAGCTTCTGTATTAACATCAGAGGCTAAAAACGAGTGTTCGGACAGAGGGTGAATAGAGGTGCTGAAGCAATGGACAGTATTGGAAAAAGAATGTGTTTTTTTTTAACAATAAAGCATGTAGGACCCCCCTCAGGTGTCGCAATTAATTTAATATTATACCTTCCTGTTCCTGAGCTTCCTTTCATGTAACTGATTGTGTATGTGTTTGTTATTTCCCCCCTCAGAGCGTTTTTCTGGCTGGTGTCCCTGCTGCTGTCGTCTCTGGTGTGGTTCATCTCGGTTCAGATCAGTAATAAGGACAGTGCGGCACAGCAGAAAGGCCTTCTCATCTTCGGCGTGATACTGTCCGTCCTGCTGCAGGAAATCTTCCGCTTTGCTTACTACAAGCTGCTGAAGTAAGTCGCTGCCATAGCTGTCTGGCGGTTTTACACACAGTCTCTGTTATAACACTACCATGATGATTCTGAATAAATTGAGTGTGAGTCTGAGACTTTTACCATCACATCCTTCATTATACAGTTGTACAGAAACCACTAGATCAGTCAAGATCAAACAATGGCAGGTTAATAAATACTGTTCTTTTTGTTATTATACAACAAATCAACATATTTTACCCTTATAATGTACATGTGCTGTCAATCAAACTGTGCCTTCAGAATGTCACTGCCAATAAAACGTCTTAAGGAAGAAGCAAAATTTCTTACTAATGATTTAAAAACTTATTTGTCTCAACTACTCAAAACTTGCTTAGCATTAGAATGTAGTGCAGAGCTGGGACAGGTTTTCTAACACCAGCAGCCACTAGAGGCCAGTAAAGCTTTATAATCTGCCGGTTATCCTGCAATATAATGAATGGCCAGTGCTGCCTTTGTATCATACAAGTGTCCATCCAGTATTTATCACACACTGTTGGCAGATACTATGAGAGCTTTCCAGCATGTTTGCCTGATCTGGTGTTCCATTTTGTTCCAGTTTCCTTCCTTTAGTCTTTTTATGGTAAAGGTTCGACGTTGCAGCTCGTATCCTCTTCCGCTAACTGACATGCATGATTCCCGTTGATGTTCTTGTTTACAATGCACAGTGAAACTAGGCACTTAAACACTGACGTTTGCGTGTTGTCCTGCAGGAAAGCAAATGAAGGCCTCCTCACTCTCAGTCAAGAGGAAACCATGCCGATCTCCATACGGCAGCTGGCCTACGGTACGTTTACTCTACACTTCACATCACTATCTGTTGCCTTTTAACATTTAGACATTTGAGAGTTAAAAAAACATCTGATAACTAGTTTTCATCCTATATTCATTTTTTTAAGGGGCACTCCACCAATTTAAACATCACATTCAGTTTACTTGTCATGGGAGTTACTAGTGAAAATGGTTGTTTTAAAGGAAGGCCTTTGTTACAAACTTGGAAGATGTACATGTTTACCAGGCAGTGAAGGTCTATCAAGTTGTTAACTGCTTCATTTTTAGCCATACTTTTATTTTTTTATCTGTGTAAAAAGTTCCCCAGTGTAATACAGGCACAATACACATAAATACATGGATCCAAGGATTACTTAAATTTGGTTATTAAAGAATTGTGACCAATATTTGTACTTACATTTTACAGTTAAAAGATATCTGGTGGCCAACATATACCCAAGTGCAGATATATCCGTGGTAAATTAAAATCAATAGAGCTGTGCAGCCAACTATTTAATTAATTGCCAAGTATTTTGATAATTGATTAATTGCTTTGAGTAAGAATTGAAGGAAAAAAAAGTAACAATTCTTTGATTCCAGCTTCTAAAATGTGAATATTTTATGGTTTCTTTACTCTATGACAGTAAACTTAATATCTTTAGGTTGTCAAGACATTTGAGGGCATCATATTGGGCTTTGGGATACACCGATTTGACTTTTTTCAACATTTTAGAGACCAAATAAATAATCTATTAGTCAAGAAAATAGTTGACTATGAAAATAATTGTTTGCCGCAGCCCTAAATGGGGTAAAGATTGCCCTGGTGGAAAATGCAGCAGTGGAATTAAACTCTCCTGTGTCGTTGTTTTGTCTCAGTGTCCGGCCTTGGCTTCGGCTTCATGAGTGGAGCGTTCTCGGTGGTGAACATCCTGGCTGACTCTGCAGGGCCGGGGACTGTGGGGATCCATGGAGACTCGCAGCACTACTTCCTGTCCTCAGGTACCAAAGCCCACAGAAATGTCCTATTTTTGGACTCAACCAAAACAGCTATTAGCTACAGTGTGTACTTGGCAATTGTGTCTTTGTACTCAAACATAGATGACTTTGTGTCATGACATTACAGCATTTATTTAGTCTGTAAAGTCAATCCACTGTTTTGGCTCTCAATACATTAAAACTAGGGGTGCAATAACTAATCGACGTAGTCGGCACCGTCGCCATAACGGAGTAAAGTGATGTTAACAAGTTACTAAAACAACACAACATCAGCGCTGGTATTAACACCTTCATGACCTAAAACCTCCAGAGTGTGGGAGCATAGGTCTTGTTTAACATTGCAGGTGTGCTCTAACTTTACAATCATGAACAACGCGTCGCTATTTGCTAATGGCGACGTTTACAGCTGGACAACGTGTTGCTGCCGAGGGTGCAAGATTAGACAACACCAGACAAGTTTATACTTTCTAAAGAAAAAAACAGTTCTCCTGTTTATGCTTGAGGTGGCAGCTAATCCGCCCCAGACTCCTTTAAAAAAAAAAAAAAAAAAAAAGGTTAGTGGTGTTGAAGGTGTTGAGTTAGGGGAAACTATATAAACGTGGAACGCTGTCTAACACTAGTTAGCAGCGCACTGACCACCTAGGCTGGAACTCGGGACAGACTGGGCCTCTTTCAGACTTGTGCGTTTGGTTTGGAACACTGTTTCACAGATATTTCACGAGCTGACTGGTGGCTGTGTTTGTGACGCCGGCGCCGATGGCCACAATACGCTTACCTTTACTACATGTGTCTTTCTGTTATGCACTTTTCCTGTCCGCCACAGCGGCGGATAGCCAAAGATTTCACCCACCACCACCAAGTTACCTGCGGGTGCTCCTTTCATTACCTGTGTGACACTAAAGTTTCTGTAGTGTCAGCTTCTGTCAGTTGATACTTCCTCTGCAGTCTGCTTTACTCTCGCGTGTCATGTGACCAGAGTGTAATCCCAGTCTTTGCGATTAGAAAATCTCATTTTATCATATTGTGATAATATCGCAAATGCAATTAATCGTTCAGCTCCACTGCACAGATGCTTATTTCTTACTGTATATACCTGTTTGGTCCATGATGAGACTGGATTTTAGCGGAACTTTCTGTCGCTACACTAGAAATACTCATTAAAAGGTGTATTTTTGAAAGCAGTATTCATTTTATTGTCTTGACTGTTAATTAGCAAATGACCAAAAGTTTAATTTAAAAGCTGATGGCTAAATGTAGGCATTGTGTAATTTTGCAATTCATAATCCGAATACTCTTACTCTTATTCGTTTCAAGAATCGACTATCAAAATAGTTGGTAGTTGCAGCTCTGATTAAAACATTCCCACTGCTTTCCTTGGGGTGGCAGGGGGCAACAACAAGATGTAGTTTACAGAATCCTGCTTGTAACACTTGTAACACTTGTCCTTTTGCAGCCTTCATGACGATGGCCATCATCCTGCTTCACATGTTCTGGGGCGTCGTCTTCTTCGATGCCTGTGAGAAGCAGCGCTGGTGGGCGGTGGCTGCTGTCGTTATTAGCCACCTCGTTGTGTCCTGCCTGGTGAGTGTTGCTGAGAATTGGCTGGATGGATTTCTTAAGTCCAAGTAGATACAGAAAATAGCACTGCCTAAAAAAATAATAATTAAAAAGTAAAACCAGGAGAAGAGCATAAACTAAAGGTGGTTATTTTTGTGTTTTCATGTTTTGTGTTGATGTCATTTTCTTCCTCTTCTCATGCAGACCTTCCAGAACCCCGAGTATGTCGGCAGCCTGGTTCCCACCTACGTCATCTTGTTCTTGATGGGCGTGTGGGCTTTTTACTGTGCCGGCGGTTCGCTCAGGAACCTCAAACTCTGCCTCACCTGCAAAGACAAGGACCTCCTGCTTGCCAACCACCGGCCCAGATAACGCAGCACACCCGGCGGTGTGCAGGACTCTATCCAAAGATTACGAGTTCACACACACACACACACATACACACACACACACATCTCCTGAACACAACAAAGACCTAACCTCTCTGTTAATCTGCTGTCTCACTTAAGAGGAATTTTAGTATCCTAAGTATAAGAACATAAAAGTGGAAGCAATGAATGTTTCTCAAATGAAAAGAAACAAAGAAGGGAGATCATTTTGATTCACACCCAGCTCAGTTTGTTTGTATGGATTTAATTCACGTTTAATGATGAGTTTGTATTAAAAAATACAAAATATATGTCGGGCTAAAAGTGTCCCGTTTGTTTCTTGATACTCTAAAAGAAACAGGTGAACAAACGTACAAAAGGTAGAAAAGGTGGGGACACTCTCCACATTCTGTAAATATTCTAATGTTTTCAACATTTCAGACAGATATCTTCTTTCAAATGTGTCAAATCATTCAAACGGTGGATTTACCATTTATCAACAAAACTCTGTGTATATATTTCTGCATTTTTAATTCCCAGGATGTGTAGATAGTGAGAAGTTTTAATCTTTTTATTTTACTTTATCGTTAGTCTGTGTAAGAACTTGCCTTTGATTTGAAATCACTTTTACAGAAGCTGAGAGGGGAACATGACTGGTATCTATTTGTTTTTATCCCAATTATGTTGAGGTCTCGACTTCATTGCCTCTGCAGGCCATAGATTAGGGCAAAATAATCTAATTGTGATTTTTTTTATTTTTTTTTATTCTACCAATATTGCAATTGCGATTTAATATGTGATAAATTTTTAAGCTCTTCACCTTCTGTATTATTCAAAACTGACAATAAATCAGTGTATAGTATGACCAACACAATAATAGATATATTAAACATACACTGTTCTTTCTTGTAGGTCAGGCCTGTGTTGTGATGAAATGAAATGAAATGGTGATGCATGAATTGCATGAATTATTATTATGAGCAATGGTGGAAAAGAAATATTAAATTATACTCGTATGAGAAAGATAGTTTGAGAGTCAAGTCATGGAATTAAATAATATGAAATAATATGATATAATATCATCAGGTCGGCCTACAGACCACAAGGAAAAGTACACCACATTGTTTTATACAGCGCTCAATAGAAAACCCACAGTTCTTACTCAGTTCAAATATCCTAGGACTCCATCTCTCAACAAAAAACTAAAAAAATACTCTGTTCAATTGAAAAGTTGGCCAACGAAAATAAAACCAAGTGACTCCTCTCGTGTTTCATAGACAAGCTTAGTAGCCTAATTCTCCGACAACACCAGAGTTCCCCTGCAGCCTACGTTGCTGGTGAGCAGCTCACTGGCTGTAACTTGGGACAGACTGGGCCTCTTTCGGACTTGTGTGTTTGGTTTGAAACACCGTTTGACAGATATTTCCTGAGCTGACTGGTGGCTGTGTTTGTGACGCTGGCGCCGATCGCCACAATACGCTGCTGTGTATTTTTCTTGTCCGTCAAAGTGGCGGATGGCCCGACAATTTCAGCCACCACCACCAAGTTACCCGCGGGCGGCAGCTGCTACTTTTATTCCCTGTGTGACACTAAAGTTTCTGTGGTGTCAGCTTCTGTCAAGCTTAAGGTTGTTGTCCAACAAGAAGGCAAGGTACAGCGTGACGTGCAGACTGCTTTCTGCTTGGGTGTCATGTGACCAGAGTGTAATCGCAGCCTTTGCGATTAGAAAATCGTATCGCGATAATATTGAAAATGCAATTAATCGTTCAGCCCTACAGATGTCATCATGAAATTGTTTTAGTTTCAGTAACAGTGTCTTGATTCCATGCTTGAGTACGAACAGCTAAAGCAAAAATAAGGTGCTAATTTTAAGGCTAAATGCTCAAACTTTTAATTTCAACATATTTAATTTGCACTGATCATTACAATTTTGTTCCTTCTGATATCCTAAATCATTCTAACAGATCACAAGTTTTATCCCACAGCTGTTTCGGTTCTGAGAGGCAAGCAGCTCAGACTGAGAGCGAGGAAAAACAAGCGCGATTTCGAAAATCTTAATGGATCAAGGATTTAGATTTTATCGTCAAAAAGCTCTGATAGCCACCTTTAGTTAACTGTGATCTTGTGAAAAATATTCCTTCTATCTCATGATTGTGAGAATAAAAATGTTTAACAAAATAACAAATACCGGAGTCCTTATTTGAAGGAAACTGGAGTCAAACACTCTCTGCTTCCATACAGGGTGTTAGCTGTCACATACTTTATCTCTCACTCCTATGTGTAAACCTAAGTTCATAACACCGTGAACAGGTGGACGTGTTGGCTCAGTGATCTTTGAATGTTAAATGTCTTTGTTGCCTTTTTTTATGTTGGAGTTGTTTGTGAGCGATCGCAGGAGTTATTGTGTCCCATATGTTCCACATTCCAAACAACGAACGTTTCATTTTTGCACCTGGTTTTGTTTTGTTGTTGATCTACTTGTACAGTTTGTGTAGTTCACAGTGTGTTTCACTCGTTTATTAGGTACACCTAACTGTCAATTAATAAATCCTCCATGAATGGTTATAATGTCCTGTTGTGGTAACTGTCTACAGATGTGTTGATTGAACTTTATGATCGTTATCTTGTGGTGGTGTTGAACTGAACTGCATTATACAGACAACCTACCCTGTGATATAAATGTGGTGGAAAGAATAATAGAAACACCTATCCATATAGCAATACAATTAAACATACGTTCATGTCTCCCTCAGGATGAAGATCTCTTAACTTTTCATCTAGCACCATCATCGGGTCAAAATATAAACATTTGTCCAATACTTTGGTTTATGACTAAAGACATACCAGTCCACGTCAGTTGTCATTTGTGTTTATTGCTAATTAGCAAATATTAGCATACTTAAACTTGTTAAAGTAAAATGGTAAACATTATATCCACTAAACATCATCATGTTGTAATTGTGAACAAGTTAGTATGTTTATTCTTAGCGTTTAGCTCAAAGCATCGTGTGTCTATAAGAACTGTCTTATAGGAACTAATGGGCTTGCGGAAGTTTTGAGACCGAATAACACCAGACTTATTCTTCAAGTCCTGTCACGACATCTAATTTCATACAGAAAAACATAAATCTGCAGAAAACAATCAGTCATTTCATGGGACCTTTAATGAGCAGTCTGCAGGGCACAAATCAGGCGCCAGGTTTCCAGTACTGTGTGTGTGTGATCAGAAGGATGTTGGAGTTGTAATAGTTTGTGTGTTTGAGATCAAGAGACTAATCGCATTTACAAACCAGAAATCACTTTTTTTTTTTTTAAGTGTTGCCCCTTAAACCCTTCCTCCTCCCCCCCCCCCCCCCCCCACTCTCCCCCGGTCCTGTTTCCATTTATGAAAGCAGACACCTCCTGGCTGGGCAACACAAAGCCTGGTGGGGTCTCTGAGGGCTTCAGTCAGTCAAAGACCTTTTTTACCCAGACAGACAGACGCAGGAAGCATTTCCTCTGCCGAAAACCAGACTTTCACATGCTAATACAACTCTGGTGACACTGGGGTCACCTCAGCAGTCTTGAAGATTTGTTGTTTTTCTGTCAGGTTTTGGGAGGTTGTATATTCAGGTTCAGGTCAGGTCATCACGGTTTAAACAGCAACCAGAGGTGAGACCATCAAACAAACAGGAAATCCAATTTCAAAATGGAAAATAAATAATTGACCCCACTGCTGGTCCCAAGAAGCTACATTACATGCCAGAGCTAAAAAGATCATTAAAATCAAAGAGATTCATCCAGAGAGCACTGTGTTTATCACTGAGCAAATGTCCTGATGGTGTGTCTGCAGTTTGCAAAGATTCCTCTTTCATTCAGTATTAATTTAATTTCTAATGTGATGCAAATTGCACCATACTGTGTTGTAGGATATAAGTTTAATTCAACACCGAGTGAAAGAAAGCAGTCACAGTCTGTCCAACTCATACTGCTGAGGAATAAGAAGCCAGGATTAATCTTGTAAAATATCTTTTTTTAATTGTACAATTCTTTCAGAAGTAAATTGTACTGATTTTTTAATGATAATTTCCATTCCACTGACTGTGGACCACATAGGGGCACTGTTCTCATGGCTAAGTGTATCTACAGTTTTTTCCTCCTCTTTTGTCTATATTACGTTTTAATAAAGTTGTAAAGTTTGATTCAGACTTTTTCTCAACAGATAAATAACGTGTACATAAAGGCATCTCCCCGAGTTAGGCGTTTTGTTAGTTATATTTCAATATATTTTATTTCATTAGGAGTTATCACTTAATCTGCAACAGATGTGGGTTCAGTTTCACATGGTGGCTCTTTGTTTTACTGCTGTCAGCAGGTCAGATCGTCATCTGTTTGGCTCCCCGGCTCGGCCCCGCCCACCCGCGCGCCCACCTGCGCATATTTTATGCTAATGAGCAGGTGCAGCGGTTCTTGAGGCGCGCGGCGGGCTGCTCTGGGATGAGCCGGATGGAGCAACGCAGGGAGCAGCGGGAGTCCAGCCGGAGGGTTTTCACCAGGTGATGCTGTCCAAGCCCGACTGACTGCGGATCCGCGAAACACGAATGGATCCCTATTTAAGACTTAGCTGGAAAAGGCTTTTTCACGTATTATCTTTGTATTTTATCCTAATTTATCAAGGTGAGTCTGAGGGAGACACATAGGCCTACACGCGACTCTGATCAGCTGTTTGCAACGGAGGAAGTGTGATTTCTGAGTCCTACGTTTTGTTCCTTTTCTTGTTATAAGAGATAATCAAATATCAGGTGATCGGGTTTGTTTTCCGCATGTGCTTTACGTGGCATGTCTTGTTAAAACTGTTCTCACTCACCTTAATCTGGAAACAGTTTAGTTGTTCTCATTGCAATTGAGTCACATTTTCAATTTTTATTTATTCATTCAGACAAGTTATTTATTTTCCTCAGCGCATCTGTCCTGGGGTGTTGAGAGAGTGAACCTTTCTAACTGGAGTGGATTTAATAAGTGAGTAAATTTTTTAAAATTATAATTAAATAGCACTGTAGGTATTGTTTTTATTATTTTATCATCATTATGAATGTCATCATCATTATGTAATTTGTAATATATATAATAATAATGTTTGTAATATATAATGTATTGTTTATATATTTGTAATTTTCTGTGTGTTTTTTTTTACAATAACTTCTAATTTATTTATAATAATAACAATAATGATGATGCCAATATAATCAAAGCAGTAACTAGGGCTGAAATGACTGATGTCAGTTTACTATTTTGATAATCAATTAATTGTTACAATTATTTTTAAAGAAAATTTGGCTAAAATGAATTGGTTTGTTGCTTCTCAAATGTTGGTGCTGTTTTATTTATTTAAAGTGAAATAAGATCTTTGGCTTTTGGAGCTTTGTTCACAAAAAATACATCAACTTATGCATGACAACTTTTGGGAAAACTGCAAGCCACACAGTATTTCTGACATTTTATACACCATTTGATTAATTAATAGATTGAGAAATTAATCAGTAGATTAAATTGATAATGAAAATAATTGTTAATTGCAGCCCTATAGCTGTAAATTTGATTTAGGTGGCCCATTGTTGGTAGCATTTCGTAAAGCAGGCAGTGCTTGTTTGTTTATTTTTGGTTGTTTGGTTTTTTTGGTGGTTTGGTTGGTTCCTGGTTGGTGGTGGGTTTGTGGTGTCTGGGGGAAAGCTACAGCAGGAACAAACCTCCCCTTGTTCTCTCTGTCCCAGCAGCGGGAGCAGCAGGATAAAGCAGCAGAAATGGGACACCGCTTCCCAGGGAGGGCAGGTAGGCAGCCGCATTGATCATTGATGCTGATGGAGCTGCTTCAGACGGCAAACAATCAGCCAGAGATCACCAAAAAATCTGCAACGCTCACACCAAAACACAGAGCAGAGCATCAGCTGAAGGGCTTTTACTTCAATAATTTATACCAGTAATATCACTAGTTTCTTATAGATGTAAATTAAAAGACAATGTATGTATAGGAGTAAAAGATACATGGAATTTAAATATACACAAGGGAATAAATATATGAGTAAAAACTATATGTGTGGGATGGTTACAGATGCAGAAAAGTCATTACTTTAAAGATTACTACAATTTGATATTAAAAATTAATAATATTAAATTCAATTTCAATTTTAAAAAGTTTTGTTACTAACAGTATTTTTATGGTTTCATTGAAACATTGACATGTAAAGATGTGGCCTAAACATGCACATTGTTACCTAGTGATGTGCACTTCAGCATGCAAAAGTAAAATTGATCCACAGTGACATTTGTTCCTCAGAAACAGACATGTGAGGGAGTCCCAGCAGGAATATACAGTAACCGGTCTGTTGTCTCACTCTTTCGCTATCAGAGCCTCCATCAGCCTGAATATGGTCGCTCATTTTGTCCGGCTTCCCTTTGGCTCAGAGAGGCGTGAGAATCCAGTCCAGACTATAGGTGTTAGTAAATGACTAAAGCAATTAGTAGCACAGGTCACATGTCACAGGTGTAAAGAGGAGATGTATCTCAGATCTCTGAGCGCACGATGGCTTTAACTTTACTCAAAGTTTAATCAATGCATGCATCATGAGATCTGGGTCGACCCTCTGCTGTATTTGTGTTTGACCTGTATCTCCTGATTCTGATCAGCGATTAATAATTCATGGTCACACACTCCTCATACCCCACTACCCTTCACCTTTGCCATCTGTTTTGTTCCTGCTCTTTGACATGAAAGCCTTGGTTTGAGAGCTCAGGTATCCACGGAGGGCCAGAGTGTAGAAACAACATTTTACTGATGCCAATGGTAACGCCAGTATTTTTAACCTAAAGCAGCCTTTTCTATATATTTTCTGTCCAATATCTTACCATCAAACTCTGCCATTTTTTCATGCCAAAACATTCCAGATATTCTTTCCCGCAGAGTTGCTCTTCTGAGACTTTACTTGAGAGCTTCCAAAATCTAATCTTTTAATTTCAGCAGCTCTGCGTGGTTAACTGTAAAACATCAAAGTAAACAAAGTTATGGTTAGAATTTACATTTTAGTTCAGCAAACTACTTGATTAACATCCCCTCACTGCATATCTCACAGATCAAAGCTCATCCAAAATGGGAAAACATACGGTGGAGGTGGTGGAGGGAGAGGGTGGGGTTGTCAACCTAGATGGGAAAGCTGAGTTGGAAATCACAGAGGAATCATTAATGAAGGCTGGATGACAGCTCTTTTCTCTCCAGCCTCTTCTATTCCCAGCGCTACCTCGGTTCCGTCCTCACCAGTCAAGACTCTGGTTTGGCATCAACCAGCGTAATTCGGGGAGGAATTTGTCCCAACAAAACACAGAATTGTAAAAGCTTTGGGTGTCTTACATTTTAATCAAATCTTTGTTAATCTGTCACCCGAGAGCTGAGCTTGTTTTTCAGATTTGCTTGATTTTATATTAATCTCATGGAATTAATTAAAAGAATCAGAATGCGTTACAAGGACTTAATTTTGTTTTGCTGAAATTGGCTCCTTGTTCTCTTTGCCAGACAGTGCCAAGGCCAAATATGGAAATGATCAGATTAAATATATTTGGTTGGAAGAGGCTCTGAAACATTGCTAGACAGGATCAGGTTATGGCTGTATGACTGAATGGTTCCAACTGTTGCATGAAATACCTGTTGACACAGTTTCTCTCATTGAAGGACCTCCAGACAGCAGCTGCTACGTTAGAAACCAACACATCTTCCTCCAGTCAGTCACTGGTCAGCCGGTCTGCTGCGTCCAACCTGACATCCTCCAGCCCAGAGAGGACCTCCTCATGGACCCTCAGCTCTGACCAATCATCTGCAACCACAGAACCATCTAGTAAAACACCATCAAGACTAGAATCATCCAGTACAACATCAGGCAGCAAAGCACAAACCGGTCAATCACCAACCAACACAACACCAGCCAGCCAATCATCAACAATCACAGCACCGTCCAGCCAATCATCAACAATCACAGCACCGTCCAGCCAATCATCAACAATCACAGCACCATCCAGCCAATCGCCAACCACCACAACACCATCCAGCCAATCGCCAACCATCACAACACCATCCAGCCAATCGCCAACCACCACAACACCATCCAGCCAATTGCCAGGCAGCACCACACCAGCTAGCCAATTATCAACAATCACAGCACCCTCCAGCCAATCATCAGGCAGCACAACACCAGCCAGCCAATCATCAGCCAGCACAACGGCACCCAGCCAATCATCAACAACCACAACACCAGTCAGCCAATCATCAACAATCACAGCACCATCCAGCCAATCATCAGGCAGCACAACACCACCCAGCCAATCATCAACCACCACCACACCACCCAGCCAATCACAAGGCAACACCACACCATCCAGCCAGTCATTAACAACCACAGTACCAGTCAGCCAATTATCAGGCAGCACAACACCACCCAGTCAATCATCAACAACCACAGCACCAGTCAGCCAATCATCAACAACCACAGCATCTAGCCAATCTCCAACCACCACAACACCACCCAGTCAATCATCAACAACCACAGCACCAGTCAGCCAATCACCACGAAGTACCACACCATCCAGCCAGTCATCAACAACCACAGCTCCATCTAGCCAATCTCCAACCACCTTAGCACCAGTGAGCCAACTGGCAACCACCACAACACAAGCCAGTCAATCACCAACCAGGACAGCACCAGCTAGCCAATCACCAGACAATACAGCACCACCCATTCACTCTCCAACAAAGATACAACTCCACTCACCAACCACCACAAGCCAATCGTCAAGCAGAACAACATCACCAAGCAGAACAACAACAGCCAGCCAAGCATCAACAAAGACAGCACCACCTAGCCAATCACCACCTAGCATAGCACCAGCTATCCAGTCAGTAACCAACACTGTGTCAGCCAGTCAATCACCAGTCAGCAATGCACCAGTCAAGACCTTATCTGACCATTCAGCAGGCAGTACTACAAAACCTAGCCAAACACCACTGGGCCAATCAACACCCGGCTCAAAAACATCAAACCAATCAATACTCACCTCAACATCTTCTAATCATTCACTAACCACTTTGATCGCAGCTAACCAATCCATTAACAGCTCAAAAACATCACACCACGAACCATCCATCTTAACGTCAGATAACCAATCAAATTCATCACCATCTGGCCAATCCCTGACCAGCTCAGTACCATCAAATCAATCATCACTTGATTCACTGTCAACAGGACACACAGTCAGTGGACTCTTTTCACCAGATGAGCGTCCAGTTAATATTTCACTGCTCACCAGGCAAGCGAAGGAAGCCCTGAGGTCATCGTCTCGTAGGATTCAAGGTAGGTTAATAAAGTTCATATGGATGTTAAATGTGTTCAGACCGCATGTGGTTTGGAACTGTGATATCACAATGTCCCTAAGACTTCAAATTTAAAGCCACTATGTTATATAATTGTTAAAATTATTCTGATGGCATACGTTTGTGTAAAAAAAAAAGAGAATCCTGGTGAATATTGATGTATTTTGTATATTGCTTTCAGTGCGGCCAAAATCTGACATTTTCAAGTCCTACACATAGTGGCTTTAACAGAATAGTTAAAATAGAAATATGCTTATACACTTACTGGCAGTTAAATGGACAGATAATCACTGCTCTCATGTCTGTGGAGCTATGGAGCTATTAGCTTAGCTTAATTTAGAGACTGGTCTAGCCTGGCGCTGTCCATATACGTAAAAGTATGCCTACATCTGAAGCTCATCAACACTTTGTGTTTCATTTATTTACTCTGTACATCAACTGAAATATGAAAACAACAATTTGTGGTTTTATAGGACTGCACCCTTTCCTGCTATCACCAAGAAATAGTTACACCACATAATTCCCTATAAACAACTTTTTATGTTTATTTCCAGTTGGTGTTCAGATTAAACAAATTAAATAGTGTTAGTGAGTGTTAGAAGTGTTGGTAGACATATTTGGAACTTTGGACAAAGCCATTTTAGCTGTTTCCCCTTCAGGTATTTATGCTAAGCTTATCAAAGACAAGCTGGGGTGGCTGTGGCCCAGGTGGTAGAGTGGCTTACCCACTAACCGGAAGATCCTCGGTGCACCATTTGTTCAGACCATTTAATATCGCCCTGCCTCTAGCTCCATACCTAGTGCACATTGATGTCTCATTTAACTCTTGACTGCAAATTGATGTAATTTGTATTTCCCTAAAAATCAAATCAGTCATTAAAAATAAGGTTGAACATCAGTGAACAGCTGAACAGCTTGAAACCCGTCCACCATGTCTTTATAAACTGTGTTTTGCAGAACGTACATGGTTGATGGGCGGTACCAAACAGTAATGGGTGAATGAAAATGTTCACACAACACAACATTAGCTGTCATATCTGTTTTGTGCCTGTGGTGTAAAGCAAATCAGACGTGACAGGTGTTCTGGCTAAAGAAATACAAAATTTCCAAGCAGTTATCCCATGATGCCACCTTTGACGCACCAGAAAAGTTGTGCAATGTGACTTTTAACAGAGCAACAAGTGAGCCCTCTGTCTGTCTCTGAACAGAAGGAAAATAGCTTTTATCTGATTCATTGCCCCCCCCCCCCCAAAACCCCTGTATGGTACCTGTGCTTGTGTGTGACATGGCTGACTGGGCAGACAAGCTGTACGCCCACTGAGCAGATGGTGTTACTGCAGGATAAGGCGCCATCGTTTGGTGGTGTGTTCAGTGACTGGAGCATCTGTAGGGGCCCCACCGCACCATATGAGAGCTGATGGGTGGGGGTGGGGCAGACAGATGGTCACTTTTCCTTAAAGTTGTTTCCTATAAAGTTAGATGTTGGTTGCAGTGGTCCTTTACACAGATGTAGTGAGGCAATTATCTGCGATTTACATAGATTTTACGGGACGTGAAGCAACATATAGTAATTTATTATGTTATCTATTCTTTCTTACTTTTTTACCTGTGAAATAGTTAATGATTAGAAACCAGAAATCCTGCACACTGTCAGTCATTTATACTTTACTTATTTAGTCGCAATGTTTCAATCAGTAGACTTTTATCAGGTAAGATCCAGGTGATATACTGAATACTTGGAGGAGGCATCGCTGTGATGAGTTTGCAGTCTGGTGAGCAGCAGGGTCATTGCTTGTTTGTTTGTTTTCTCTCAGCAGAGCCATGTGTGTTTCCCTGCCTGAACGGAGGACAATGCGTTCAGTCGGAGTCATGTGACTGCAGTTTGTATCAGGCCACTGGACACAGATGTCAGACAGGTAAACCACACACCTGACATTCTTCTTTTTAGAACGTATTTGAGTCAATTTAAATGTTTTATGAGAAAAACCATCACCAACCTTTGGAACATTAAATGAACCGAAGCAGTGGGGGTTATTTTCACAACATGATATTAGTTGAGGGGAATTAAACTTGTTTGCTTTTTGTCATACTGCAAATAACAACAATGTTTGGTTTTAAGAGAAGTAATATGCGAGTGCAGAAACACCAAACAATATTTCAAAGGAAACTTTGGGTTTCTCATTTTGGACAAATGCATTTGTTATTTGTACTAATTAAGAAATTTTTAGGTGAACTCAATTACCCTTTAGCTTTAGTAAAAGCTTAAAAACAGGCCAAAAACTGTCACTGAGGTGAGATAATCTCATCTGTTTCTAATATAAATAACTCTAATTTTCTTGATATTGTGCTATAATCTGCCTTATTTTGTCTGCTTTGAAGACATTGAGAATAACTGTCAGAATTCTGCATTGGCACAAAAAGATCCATCAATCAGTATTTCTGCATTAACATTTAGAGCGTCTTAGTTTTGGAGAACAGTACATATTGGACAGGTGGACAGAAACACTCTTAAATCACACATTCTACTTAAAGGCTAAAAATTGATTAATGAAGCATAAAGAAAGATATGGTGTGTTATGAAGGGTGACTGTGAAACTAAATTATTTGTTAAAATGCATGTACTGGACTGGATAAGTAACTGGCTGTAAAACTAGATTTCTTGGTTTTACTCAACACTAATGAATGGCTCTTTAGACAGAACTTAAGTGATGGGAAATCCTTTCACCATTTCCTTTTTCCCTCAATTCATCTTTCAGTTCCAAATCCTGGCTTTGAGAGAGAGATGACATGTAGGACGTGGGGTCAGTACAACTTTGAGACCTTTGACGGCCTCTACTACTACTTCCCTGGCCGATGCACATATACTCTGCTGAGGGACTGTGAGGAAACCACCCAGGCCAGCATCATCATCCAGGTTAGTTCAGACTCAACAGCAGCCGGTCGAAATAAATCCTCCAGACTAGAAGCTGCCCAGAAGGTTTCGGTTGGACGCCTGCTTCCAGTTGAGGAAAGTTTGGGCTCAGTGGCGTCCTGCTCCAAAACACACTCTCCTTTCTGACTGCGAGGTTCAGTCTCAGCCTGAGGAAAAGATTTGCTCTGAAGATTAGTGAAAGCTATCTGGTTATTAGAGTCAATTACCATTAAATACTGCAATTACCCACTATGCCTTGAAAGCATCTGCAACAGACCAGGACTTTGTTCCCCTGAAAAGGGAGCAGATACTTTATCTGTGTATGGGAAAACCAAACCAAACAGGGAACATGAAAAGATCCAAAAGCATTATGATTATTGATAGTTTATTAATACCAGCTTTTAAGTGTCTTTTAGGGAGAGATGGGACAAAAATCTATTTATTTTTTTCATTTGTGCAGGAGCTGGTTAAGTATTTTGTGGTTTGCTTGTAGCCCACAGAAAATACATTAGAGACATGGCTTGATGAAAATAAAACACAACTCTTAAACTGAATAAAACTCAGTCAGACAAGCTCAAACTAAGAAAACAAATTCAGGCAAATAGGAGAACTTTTAAAGAGTTTTCAAATTATAAGGCTGGCTACATGTTTCTTTATGTCAACAAATCTCACGAAAAGTCCATCTCTCAATACTTTTTTCAGTCCACCATTTATTCCTACTGAGGACTCACAAATATAGTTCCATTTTTTAAAGTGCTAAATCATTTTCTAAAGTGGCAGGACACTTGATTTCCACATTGTCTCTTGCTGTTTGCAGGTTCACAATGACCCTGGCTGCAACTCTGCCCCCTACACTTGCCAGCGATCTGTTAGCCTCTTCCTTCCATGGGAGGGTGAGGTTCGGCTGCATGCCACCAACGTGACCTTCAAAGGCCAAAGGTCAGCAGTGTAACACAATTAACAACAGAACATCTTCATGTAAAAATATAATTATGTATTTATGATTTCTATTTCTGTCTTTCAAGAATTCTTTCAGGATCAGGATATATTATTTATTTTAAGTGGTCTAAGTCTGCTTGCTCTCTATATATTTTATTTTACATGAATGTAATATGTTCTAAAGGTTTTGTCCTTACCTTTTTTAAGATTAACATTTTATATATATGTTGAAAGATTAAGGCTGGATATCAGTCTGTTCTCAATGACGATTCACTGTCTCTGCATTTAGTTTGCAGTTGCCTCATCACATCCACGACCTGCAGCTGGAGCACATCTCACAGTATGTTCTGGTGACGCAGCAGCACGGCTTCACGCTGGCCTGGGAGGGACGCAGCGGCTCCATTTACATCAAACTCAGCCCAGAGTTTGTGGGCAGAACCTGCGGCCTGTGTGGGAACTTCAACGCAGACGTCCAGGACGACCTGAAGACGAGTTTTGGTATGATCAGTGGGCAGTACATTTCAACATGTAGTTAGAACCTGCTTCAACAGTCTGAGCAAGTCACTTAACCAAGTTATCACTGGTAACATAATCTTACCTTGGGGTGTGAAAGCAGCTCAGCTTGTTTTAATGCCACCTGCATCAACCTGTGTCTTTATCGTCCAGATTATAATCAGTTAGCACATACAAATATGCTGTACACACGTCCAGACAGATTGTAATCTGAGTCAGCCATCTGAGGATGTGTTCAGGGACACATTTGACCACATTAACAAAAAAATGTCAATCCAACACATACAGCCCGGGTTTAGTAGGTACGATGACAGAAGCACAGTAATATTTGGATCAAACCAGGAAGCAGAACAACAAGGCCACGCTCACATTAAGAGAGCATCTTCTTTGTTTTCAGCTTTATACTCGCTACCTACCTTGGAGGATAATCTATTACAGAAATAATTTAGCAGAAAACCAAAAGCAGAAGACAAACAACAACAACAATTCTGAGATTTTGTGAAGTTAAATTTAGTTGTTTCTTGCATTTAAAAGGTAGTTGGTAGACTTTTTTTAAAAACAGTCCCCTAATACTTTAGATTTCTGTAATGGCTTATCGAACTCAAGCCAGTCTTTACAAGCTAGTTTTCACATTGAACTGAAACCAGTGGCTGCCTGGACGGTAGGAAGTCAAACTAAAATCATAAAGCAGAAAAAGATTGGAAAATAGTAAGCAGTGATGTAAAGAATACGCAATTTGTAGTTCAAAATATGCAAAACAACAGATCCTCTTACTTCATTTGAGCAGATGTGGCCTTTTTAAAACAGTTTTGTCTCTTCCAGGTGTGCTGACTCATGACATTGAAATGTTTGGGAATAGCTGGGTGGAGGCGGAGCCACATCAGGCCCGATGTCCCATGGTGCCTTCGGGCTTCTCTTCACCCTGTGCTGCAGTCGATGTGCATGTCCTACCGGTAAGGTGTCTGATAAAAATAAATTTTTTTGTGATCATAATTTTGGTTTCGGTTGAAATGACGATGAGTGAAAAACTGTCTTTCTTTGTTTTATGGCTGCAGAAAGTGGAGGAGGTGTGTGCAATGCTGCTTGATCCGCCATTTCAGAGCTGCCACGACTTTGTCAGCCCTTTGTCCTTTATGGCCAGCTGCTCCAACGACCTCTGCATGTAAGATTCAGACCCGCCTGTTGAGATACCTTGTGTTCATTTTGTCCTGGCCTTTGAAGAAACGCCAGGGTGTCTCATCATAACGGTTAATCAGTTGTGGAACATGAATGTCCACAACATTTCCACAGGAATCGAGCTATTTGTTTTTTGAGATCTTGTGATAATTTGTTCAAAATGGAAAGGATTGATCCTCAGGGGAGCATGAATGTGCTGAGTAAATGTCATGGTTAGTTCTTGAGCCCCCAAAACATTAGAGGAAAGATCGTTACACGGGGCCCATGAATGTCCACACCACATTTAATGGGAATGGCCTGCAGTTGTCATTTGAATTGTGTCCAAAAAATACATGTGGAAGGGTTCATGCTGGAATTAAGCACCTGATGCACTTCAGCTGTTTATTTCACTTCCCTTCATGTGTTTTCCTTCGCTGACTCAGTTGGAAATCTGAGTCGGATGGATGCAGGAGGGCTGCACCATCACCGGGCTTCGATCCAGCACTCTGTAATGGGACCTAGAGGCAGACTTTAGGGTGCAGGGGGGACCCTTAACAGTTAGAAGAAAGCATTTATTCAGTAGTGGGAGATGTACAGTTGGTGAATGTAGTAATTACAGCAGTGTGATACTCAAGCTTCTAAGGCCACCCCATAGGTTTAAATCATATAGGAGGTTATTTTAGCCTAATTTGTTTTCTGCAGGATTTCTGTGTTTCATTTAATTGTCAGTTAAGTTATCTACTTTTCTGACAATTTCTATATTAGTTTTTAAAATTTCTAGGTGCAGGATTTGAACATTTCTGGCTTCTGTGCCTCCCAGTAACATGATTTAAAAATTCACTATGAGCTGTACAGCAATACACACCGCCAGTCTCTCTGATCCAAACTTGGGATACTGAGAATGGACTGGTTTTCCCAGTGGGATTGTCTTATTTTTAATAATAATTTTATTTAATAATTCATTTTATACATAAATATTTAAGTAATCAATTTAATATTATTAATATCTGGCAATGGGGATTTTGAATTTTAAGTATCATCTGCCTCTTTCCTCTAAACGCTGCTGAGTGCTCTGAACATCCATGTTGAAGAAGTGTTTAAAACTGCTCGCTATTTTCCCACAATGTTAACTATGATATTGTTTGAACACATCTTTATATCTTTAGCCAAGTGATGTGGTTTGAGATTTCTTGGATTTTTGCCCTTTGCAGTCCATGTCCACAAAGAAGGCTGTGAGCATGTTTGTTACTTTCTGGTTTTAAAATGATCCCATCAGCTTTCTCACTTGTGTCTCTTGGTGACTCAGGCCCATGATCCCGAACGATCCCTCTTTCTGTGAGTAACATTAGCCTTTGCAATCTGTTACTGTTAGCTCAGAGTTATTTGGAACAGAGACGAGTGCTGAAGACAAAACATTTTACTGTGTTCAGAAACACGTTCGGATGATACAATCACACTACTGCAAAGTTTTTCAGCTATAGCTTATTATTTAAAGCCTTACTGGAATACTTCCCCATTAACAGACAATTCTCCAGTTGTCCCTCATGATGGAGACACAGCTGCTGGCTAGTTATTTGTTTGAGCTGCACAATCTAATCAGGCTCTGTGGCAACATCTCTCCTGGCTCTGCTCAAAGAGTCCTTCTCTGTCTGTTACTCTGTTGAAGGTCGGGTCCCAACGGTGATGTGGTATGCCAGGTGTTCAGCGAGTACGCCCGGGCCTGTGCCCACGCCGACCACCCACTGCACGACTGGTGGCAGCACATTCCTCACTGTGGTATGTTTTTCCAGGTATTTTAAATTTTGTGCCGCAGAGGACAGAAAAGCTGCATGGTTCAACAACATGCTTGAGTTCCTCCTCTCTAATATGGAAAGGTGTAGCATTCGCTGAAAAAAGAAAAACAAAGAAAACTATTTGGAGATAGAGAATGACTTCTTTATCTCATAATTAAGCATCGTCATTGTAGTTTATGAGATCTTTATCTTGTAATTATGAAATGGTAATACGAGATATGGGAGTCACAATTGCGAGAAAATGTCTGTAGTTAATTTAGAGAAGGTTAGTGGAATAGAGGCTAGCTCGAAGCTAAAATTTACGTTGTTATTTTTGTTATTAATGTTATTTTTATTGATCGACTGTCTATTTGTATAGGCTACCTGATATTGCTGAGGTCAGCTGCAGCAGTTAACTGAAAAAAGTTATTGGAACAGGCAAGCTAACGGGCTGAGGACTTATATTACACCAAAAATAACCAAAATCCACTGAAATTCTTTTTATCGATCAGATATGTACTTGTGTAGCTTACGTAACTCTTAACTCACTACTGCGAAGGTCAACTGCAGCAGATCTATTTACTGTTCCACATCATCTATTACATAGCATAGTTACCTTTTAATAGTCAACATGCAAACAGGACAATTCAATTTATATAATGAAAACATTTAGTTTTATCTGTATTTCAAAGTTGGATTTCTGCCTGTCACACACACACACACACACACACACACACACACACACACACACACACACACACACACACACACAGATCTGCAGTGTTCAGGTTCAACTGCCAGCAATCATACTTCTGTATTTTTGCGTTAGAGAGGTTTATTCAACTCCAAGAAAAGTTTTAAGACTGTAGTTTGTGGCGTCATCACAGCAGCTGCTCCGATATTAAAGCTGTCCATTGTTTGTTTGATTTGGCAGGTGTATGGGCAGTCCCTTTTGACATATATGTTGTGTTTAATTTTTGCGACCAGCGAAGCAGTGTCCCCTAGGTCTGCAGCACAGGGAATGCATCAGCTGCTGCCCGGCGTCCTGCAACCTGGAGCGAACATGCATCGACAGCAAGCTGGCCTGCCTGGATGGATGCTACTGCCCTGATGGTGAGCAATGTCTATTCCCCCGAAAAGACTATCCCAGTTTTCTGTCCTTTATATAAACCACCATTAAACCACCTTTAAATGAACTTAGATTAACTTTTCTTTCGCATCCTTCAAAAGTGATCTACTTTTATTAACTAACCAGACGTGACAGAAATATCCTGCATCTTCCATTTTGTCTGTATTCGGACTCCAGATTAAATCAAGCAATAATCTCCTTTCTATCTGTTTATCTGTCTCTCCTGTTTTCTCTCCTCAGGTCTGATCTATGAGGACGGTGGCTGTGTGATGCCCTCCGACTGTCCCTGCGAGTACCACGGCATGTTTTATCCGTCTGGACAGACGCTGCAGGAAGAATGCAACAACTGGTGAGCAGTGTTTAACCTCTCTCTCTCCATAAATAACTTGTGAAACAGTGATGAGTACCAGCTTCATGTTTTTTTACAGTTATTAAATTACATCTCTAATAACCTTCATTTCATTTCATTTCATTTCATTCCTAGTCTTGTCCTTAATCTTCTCAGATCTGATCACCTGGGATCAGTGATTCTGCTGATAATTTCATTCCTTTAATGTTCCCCACCTGTGGTCGTCTCTGCTTTCTATTTCAGCACATGCGTGGGAGGAGTGTGGAACTGCACTGACTACAGCTGCCCAGGTTTGTGCCTTCCCACTGTGGGTGGTTACGTTTTTACTGTACTGCAGGTCACATTCCATGAAACACTGTGATGGGAGGTGATTATTTTATTACAACCCAAAAATGTTCTCAACAAGTCACATTTTCCTCAAGCTTCTATTTTATATATTTGCTGACTCTAGTTAGGCAGCAGGGAAGGAGTAGGCTTCCTACTTTGGGAATCAGAAAGAAAGAACCATCGTAGCAAAGGTCAAGGAAGTCTCCTACTTTGTGAGCCAGGGAGGCGAAAGTCTCTAGATGTGGTGCAGGGAAAACCTTCCTAGATAGGGAGGAAAAAGTAGCAAGACTCATTATAAAAGGGCAAGAACAGCAGACCTTAAAGCAACATCTGAATCAGACATTTATTCATTTAGCTGACGCTTTTATCCAAAGTAACTTACAATTGCCATATAAGTCAGAGATCACACACCTCTGGAGCAACTAGGGGTTGTGTGTAAGTGTCTTGCTCGGGGACACAATGGTGTCTCACAGTGGATTCAAACCCGGGTTGCTCACACCAAAGGCATGTGTCTTATCCACTGCTCCATCACCACCCCGAATGTCAAATAATTATTTATTTTAGGTAAGTTTAAAGGCAGATATTTGCTCCTGAGTGAAAAGTTGAAGAGGGTTAATTCTGGTTTTAAACTTTTCTTCATGGTCAGAAAACGAGTACTGAAAATTTAAGGTTCCTCATAACAAACAAGGGAAAAGGAAGCATCCTAGTTAGGGAGCAAGGCGGAGAAGGAGAAGCTCCTACTTTGGGAGCCTTTCTAGTCAAAGAAGGAAAAACCCTTAGACACTGCCATTAGGTTAAAGAAATCTGGCAAAAAAGTTAGAAAAGCTTTCACTGATTGCTGTTGAAGTGCTATTGATCAAGGTGTCTGCCCATTAGCTTCCATACTGTGGTTCTAAGTTGAAAGTTTCCTCGAAAGAATAAAGGCAATAAAATTGTCTCACTCTCTCTACAGGCGAGTGCTCAGTGACTGGCGATATGTATTTTCAGTCCTTTGACGGGAGGATCTACACCTTCCCTGCAACATGTCAGTATGTCCTCGCCAAAAGTCGCAACTCAGGAAAGTTCACAGTCACCGTCCAGAACGCCCCCTGTGGAGCTGTGAGTTACGTTTAATCTACATTATATTTATTTTATTTTTCGTTGCGATTTCTACTTCTTTTTCTGCTTTTGAAGCAAACGTCTCTACTCTTCCACTTAAGACTCTGCAATCAAACTGTTTTGCCGCTTACAGGTTTATGCAATTTTCGGTCATGTAGATCGTATCATAGTTTTAAGTGCCCAATAATCCCTGCTGAGTCCAGGTCATTTTTGTTCAAGAGCCATGCTGGGATTTAGAGAAATGAAAGCCTCGGGGAAATGTTGTCGATCACACTGTGGCAGATAATGAGCATGAAAAGCAACAAAAGACTGAGAGCTTCTTCTCCTCTCCCGTCTCTCCAAAGCCTTCAATTTCTCCGCAGCCTTTGAGCTGCTCTGCAAACAGGGGGCGATGGAGGGGAGGAGGCGAGATATAAAATGTCCCACTCATCAGAGCAGAGGCCCGAGACCTCTAACAGCCAACTGAACAGGATTACCTTATCTGGCCTGACTGACAGAGCTGTGGATGGCTTTGTAGTGAGGAGGGAGGTGAAGAGAGGCTCTGGAGGGTTAGGGGACTTGGACAGAGAGAAGGTTATGCGAAAACAGGAGGTGAATGATGGGAAGAGTAGAAGGAGGAGGGGGTTGCTAAAACCTTTTGGCTATGGGGCTCTGCCACTTATGAAAGAGACGATTCATAGAGGCAGATCGCTTACTGTCAGCAGGCTTCCTTACTTTAAAAATATCCGAGCAGCAGAGTAACTAATTGTACCTTTTCTAAAGTGATGTACTTAAGTACAGTTTTGATGTACTCATGATTTCCTTGAGTATTTACATTTGGAGACAGTAGCAGGTTTTATATTCAAAATATAACCAAGATTTTTATATTAGCAATGGATTACATACACATGAAATGTGTTGCTCATAGTGATGAACCTGTGGTGAATTGTCTCTGACTCTGCAGTTTGCTGTTTTGGTTTGAGTGTACGTTATCTGCCCAGCACCAAATGGAGCGTTTAGCAGCTAAAGAGGCAGATACTGTATTTCCCTAAGGAGTTGAAAACAGTGAATTCTGGACATTTTCCAGATGTTTTTAATCATCAAATTAAGCACTCACATTTCATTATGTGTCATGGAGCCGGTGATTTGAGAGTAAAAACTTCTTGTTTTCTTTTTTCCCTCTCTTCCCATTATGTCAGTCTCATTGTGTGTCCTGTTATGTATCTGAATTGCTGCTGTTTGGGATAATGCCAGCATGCTTTATCAAGCCATCTTGTCTCATTTGCAGAATTTGGATGGGGCCTGCATCCAATCAGTTAACCTGGTTATTGACGAGGATCCAAGAACAGAGATTACACTGAGTCACATCGGAGAGGTCTTCATGGCTGGACAGTACCGCATCTCCTTGCCCTATTCTGACGGTAACTCCCTCATCTTTTATCACCTTCCAACATTGTTCACATCCAGCACCAGACTTTTTTCAGAACTCTGGCGGTCACGGCAGAGACAGATTGAATGACAGCTCCGCTATTGAACAGAAATGTTATAATACTTTACTTGGTTGGTGCTTGCATTGTGTTGCCCAGAATGCCTTCCCTCTGAGTATTACTCCTTTTTCACAGCAGCCTGTTCATGACTGCGGCATTATGTAGATCGAGTCAACAGCCTTTTGTATGTTTTGTGTAGAGACAACACTTTATGTTCTGTTACAAAGAGGTACTAACAGAATACTTGAATCAATCAACCAGTCAATTCAATCAATCAGTCTATCTTTATGTGGAACCTTTCATGTACAATTGAAACACAATAAATTCCAGATATAAAGGAAAAGGAGGATTTAAATCTTAAAGTACAACCCCAAACAGATCCAAAACTACTGCTGAAATGATTAGCCAATTTTTCGATTCATTTTTCAACAGAAAATTAATCAACAACGCTTTTGATATTCAATACTTTTATCCAATTTATCAAGAGTGTCTCAATGTCAGGACCTCTTTGTTTTGTATCATAGTAAAAACTGAACAAAACAAGATATTTCATGACATCATCTTGGGCTCTAGAACAATTTCAAGGACATTTTTTATGATTATTTGATATTTTATGAACTAAACAATTAATTGATTAATTGACCAAATTATTGATGAAAATAACAATTAGTTGAAGCCCAACTCAAAGCATAATGAAAGTCACAATAAAGACAGAGTAGGAAGAATACATTTCCTCAGTTGGAATTGTCTGTATTAATTAATTGCTAAGCTAAAGACACGGCGATGTCACAGGCATTTTAATATTTTGAAAGCAGAAAATGTTTCTCTGAAACATTAAACTTCGGGTTTTTCTTTAGGTTTGTTTATAAAGTTACCATTCTGCACTTACATCCAACACTAGTATCGGTAGAAATCACTGTCCGTCAGATTGTCAGTACTGCCAGTGTTCATTATCTCTTAAAGAGGAGTTTGTGGGTGCGAGTACCCAGAGTTTGTGGGTGCGAGTACCCAACAGTGATGTCACAGTGTACTGGCACACCCAGGAGTACATTGTTACCTCACTGCAAGGCCACAGGTTAAACAAATGGAGGTCAGCAATAAACTGGGTGAAATAGGATGAATCGTCGCCCCGTTAAGAAAGACGCTGTGCGCATTTACGCACGAGGTACAGCAGCAAAACGTCATTGATTATTTGAATCTCCCGACACTCTGACAGAATCGGTCAGCAGCCTCTTAAATCATGAAAGTAATTTGTTAAAGCACAAACCTATAGAAATCTATTTACGCATGATCCATCAGGGAAGCTACCGATTTTGTTAAGAGGACCCAGATACCTGGAGTGTGCAACATGCGTACAATGTCGACCATTGGATTCCCGCAACAGGAAATACTGTTTCTCTTTTACTCTGGATTTGTTTTTCTGGTGCTGAAATGTTTCTCGGTGTTGGTGAATTATAAAAAAAAAGAAAAAAACACAACTTACTTGTGGGTTAAAATGCGTTGTAGCAAGCGTTACCGAGATTGGGTATAATGTTAATGATTTATTTTTAGCAATGCGTTATATTACTGCATTACAGCAAAAAGCAATACATTACTGTAATTGCGTTACTTTTGTAGTGCATTACTCCCAACACTAGCAATGGAGTAATGGTTTTATGACCAGTTCTCCTTTTTGTTTGTATCATGCACACGGAGTACACACTGATCAACAGGTAGCGGTAATATGCTACCTGAGACGTAGCACTGCACCAGCAAAAAGCAGGGAAGAAGAAGATTGGTAGCTTGCGAATATGGAGGTAAAGAATGCGGGTTTAAAAAAAAAAGAATTAAAAGCAAACTTTGCAAGTGTTTTATGCAGAAGTTGAATGCATATGTAATTATGTTAACCCCATCTTCTCCTCCCACATCACCCACAGACACCTTCCACATCCAGGAGTTGTCGTCCATGTTCCTCCAGGTGAAGACGGCGTTCGGCCTGCGTCTGCAGTACAGCTGGAATGAGTTTCGCCTTTACCTGCAGGCCGAGGAGCTGTGGAAGGACAACACGGTGGGCCTGTGTGGCACCTTCAACGGCAACATTCAAGATGACTTCCTGTAAGTGTGTGCCTGCTGGCCTTTGACCCCTCCCGCGCCCTCTGCCAACCCCCCCCCCCCCTCCAATGATAAAAAGAGAGAGCATACTCCTGTTTCAGAGGCAGAGAGGGAGGTGATGTTGAAGTGCTCTCTCTCTCTCACACTCCCTCTCTGTAATGCACACTGGCTCTGCGGCTCGGCATCAAAAGCCTCGCTCTCTGATCAGCTCTTTTAGGCGGGCCAGATGAGCACCCAACTGGACACGCCGCTTCAACAAGGAATTTACTGTTAGTGGAATAGGGGCTCCACTGTACCGTATCGTAATGGCTGACCATAAAGGGCGGATGTTGTCTAACAGCTGTAAATGGATATACATCACAGTTGGTTACTGAAGTGGTCGTATGCTACTTGAAAGAAAACTGGAACTCACTTTGCCCGAAGCTCTCCAGAAGCTCTCCAGAAAACACTAGAGGACACTTAAAATGATGACTTGCAGGATCTTCTATTTTATATTTTGTCTTTAGTTCTAAGCACTGACTTATGTTGTCTTTTTAAAATGCTGTTTTGGTTTTACTATGCTTAAAGCAACATGATGTTAGATTCGTTTTTCTGTGCGATTTAGCGCGCGCACCATTTCAGAGTGTAATTCCCCGTAAATAAGGATAGCTGTTCACTGCTGAGTAATGTTGGAAAAAACAGTTACGCAAAGCAACTTGAAACTTTGGTGGAAACAGCAAAGCCAGAAAGCAACAGACACAAGAGCACTTACAGTAATATCGCAGATGTCTGAGTGTTGTTATGTAGTAAGTTTGCTAACATCAACTCAAGATTTAGAGCTTGCGGCTAAACTTCTGGCTGATTTTGCTCGAGTTGACAACTTTGCTAACACAGTCAAATATCAAGCAAGCGCAACAACACAATACATTTTGAGCACAGAATTCAAATGTTATGGGCATGAAGCAGTAATGACAGGAGAGGCCATTCTCCCTTTTACAAGTCAGTGTAACATGAAAATGATTTTGAAGCTGTTATTTTAAGATAAAAGTACAACATAATGTTGCTTTAAAGCTACACTAGTTAAATTTGACTGATTAACATCTGTTTAGACATTTAGGGGCCAAAACAAACAGCACAGTAAGTCAGAAACAGTCATTTCTCTTTTCCTCTGGTACTCTGAATTCAAAAGTAAAGTGGGTCCTAATCGTGTGAGAGGCTGAGGCAGAGGAGGGACTCATGTCATGCCAATCCCTGAATACCAGCAGACTGCAGAGAGGGCTGTTGAGACATCCAAATAAAATTTCACATTTGGGTGGCAAATGTCTCTTTAAAGGTTTAAAAATATATATTTATCTGTCACTGCATCCAGTTTGACAGACAGTTGCTTTAAGTCCTGTCTTTTCTTTCTTTGTTGGAAAATGGATGATGAACATTTCAAGAATTTATAATTTGCAACATATATGAATCTGTTCAATCTGAAAAGATGGTACCTCCGTTTTCTCATCTGGAGAAATAGGGCCTTTCTTTTGAATGCTTGTGTTGATTCCCATGTGGGCTAGGAATCTGTTGTAGCACTAGCCATCACTATCCATCCATCTAGTTCGTCTATGTTGTTGTAATGAATCTGTGCTCTCGTTTACCTGCAGATCCCCATCAGGTATGATAGAAAGCACTCCGCAGCTGTTTGGAAACGCCTGGAGAGTCTCGTCAGCCTGCTTGCCCAGCCTGAGTACGCCTCAGCTCGACCCCTGTGACACACACCAGCAGGCCGGTCAGTCCATCTTCTTCCACAATGTTATATATTATCCACATAAATATTCAGTGTCTTATTTATCAGGTAAGAGTGTATTACTTTATTGTAGACAGATAATTTGTTTTTACAATCCTAAGTAATAAAGAATTCAGATGTTGTTGACATTTAATTCTGCATAAACAAAAAAAGTTAAGACATTTTTATTCAAGGTCTATATTTTAATAATGTCATCGTGTAATCTTTGAAGCAAAAAGTTAGCACTCAAGGCTAAACTGTGCTTGTCACGTGTCTGCAGCTGCTTCACAGCAAACATATTATAGGTTCATGCTCTCATCAGATTGCTGTCGGGCTGTGAAGCAGCTCAAGACGCATTCATTTACATGGATGTGTTTGAATCACACAAAAGTCAATGTAACATAAGGCTTGTCCACAGATTGTTTGTATATACTGTATCTGTACATTTTCAGCTACTACCCTTGTGAATTTCTGCCTTCATGTGTGTGACGTGATGTCAATCTGCTCCTTCCCCTGCTTAGTGGCCTATGCCTCAGAGATGTGTGATGTCCTGAACCAGGAGCTGTTCTCCGCTTGCCATGAGTACCTCAGCCCGACATCCTTCTTTCAGCAGTGTCGCTCAGATACCTGTAAGTGCGGGACGCCTTGCTTCTGCTCTGCGCTGGCCCACTACGCTCGTCACTGCCGCAGATTCTCTATCATCATCGACTTTCGATCGCAGATACCCGACTGTGGTGAGTAAATATGTATACAGATCAAAGAGTCTGGCTTGTCTCTGGATTCATCTTTTGTTACAGGCAGCTGAATTTATGAATTAATTATAATGATGCATTGAAGGAAGGCACAGCACCACAAAATGCTATGCCTGAAATCTTTGCAGACCTTTCTTTATTTCCTTCTCGTTATTGAGACCAAAATGTTAAAAAAATATTTCATCCCTTGCCTTACTGATGCAAATTACAGTAGCTACTTAAAGGTTACAGCTTTTAAAGGGAAACTCCACCGATTTCACACATCAAAGTCTATTTACAGATCTTGGAGAGTAGTACTGCATTCATGAAATAATTGTATTTAGTTTATTGTCCAGAGGGAGCTGTGTGAAATCTGATAAATTGCCTCAACTGATGTCACTATATGTATACTATATGAACTGAACTGTCAGCTGTTGAGTTGCATTGTGGGTTATGCAGGTGGTTAAGGTTGTGCAAAATATGTACTAAATGCAACTCATAAATTGGGTTAGAGTTGTATATCTTAGAGAGCTATATATGTTTGTTTGTGAGAGATGTTTCTTTCTTTGATTAACTTACCAGTAATAATTAATAATTGATATCTAAAGTATATTAAAAAGCAAATATAATCAATATTTTTAATAATAAATAAGATTTGAAAAAGAACATAGTGGAGCATTTAGCAGTTAACATGTTCGCCATATCAATTTAAATGGTTATGATATGTTAATGTTGTGTTCAGAAATTGTTTCCGCTGCCCCAGAAAGTCAGTTATCACAGGTTTTAATGCGATGACATTAGAACAGCAATATCCAAAAGATACTGTGTTGTGAGACAAAGTATGGAAAAATCACACTGAGCAGCTTCCTGCTGACTTAATTGATGAGGTAATGTGAAAATCTCAATCTCAATCCTTCAGTTAACCTCGTGTCTCTCTGCAGCGGTCACCTGTCCTGCCACCATGCAGTATGGCACCTGCATGTCGTCCTGCCAGCGCCGTTGCTCCGCCCTCTCTGTCCCGCAGCACTGCGGGGAGGAGTGTGAGGAGGGCTGCGTCTGCCCTCAGGGGTCCTTCTACAATCATCGAACACAAACCTGTGTGCACAGGTGAGGCTGAGGGGGTGGAGTCTTCTTTTTTTTGGGGCAAAATAGCAACACGAGAATAATTATCAGTCAGTAAAATATATTTTTTACTGCATTTAGAAGATAAAATTCTAATATCCATGGCGTCATTTTAGCGTTAAGTTCAGAAGGAAATCAGTGGCCGATTGTCCTTGTTGTGTGTCGGAGCAGCTCCAGCTCTGCCTGCTGCCGTGTTGTGGAGGGTTGTGAAGGCCCTTAAACGGCTAACTGGCTGGAGTCACTCCACCAAACAAATCCTCTCAAAGTGATATTTGTATCTGCTCTGAAGTTTAGGTCAGCCTTTAAGTGGAAAGCCTTGTATCTTTCCTGCAGTAGTTATAGAGCCAGAGGACCTCAGTAATTGTGCTCTCCCTTTCAGCCTGCTCTGCCCTAGAAGACATGCAGCTTAATTCCTCTTAAATGTCCCAGGTTTTTACATCCTAGTGCAGCGCGGTGCCTTACTTACCATGTGATAGAGTTACATCAAGGAATTCACCGTGAAACCCCCCTTTCATTCCCACTCGATCTGGGGACGACACAGATATCTGATAACCAGTGAGAAAGAATTTGTAGTACAGAGGCCGATGTGTGGCGCTGGCCTATATGTTACACAGCTTTCAGACTCCGCTAAACACAGTTCACCACAACGTAGATCCACTGTAATTTTTTGATGTTTTTATAAGAAGAATTTTGTCTTAGTAGATTATGTTTTTGAAAGGAGGTTTGGTTGTGGATTTGATTCGACATCTTGAGCTCTGATTTCAACTCCTAAAGCTTTTCTGTCTCCTATCCAATTACCTGTAATACTCTGTTTAAGGTAACACAGAGCCCTCTTTAACATAGTTCTTTACACAATAACGAGCAAACTGAGCAGGGTCTGGTTTACGTCACTCAAACCCTGATGTGTAATTTTCAATTTAGGAGGTTTCTGAAGATCTTTGGACATCTAATTAAAAGCTTCAATATACTCACTTCCTGTTGCACTCAACAAAGAATTGCATCTGTTACATGAATATTGATGTTTTTCCTCCCTAATTTACTTTTGTGTTTTTTCAGGAGTGAGTGTCCATGCAGTTTCCTCGGAGCCGATTATGAACCAGGAGATGTGATCATGACGTCAGCAGGTGTTCAGTAAGATCCTGTCGTCCGTCAACGTCCTCCTTATCTTAACCCTCAAAACATTTCTACATTTAAAAAAAAAATATTTCAGCTGTTTCTTTTTTAACACTTTTAAGTTCAGGCAATTCAGGTAGCAAACAGTTAGAGAAAGCAGAGATAATAACTGGAGTCAGTCAAAATAATCCTTTATCGTGGATGAGAAGCTACAACCAGAACACAGGACAGAGACAAAGCTGTCTAAAGCTAAAGTTTCCACTTTGATGTGGGTCAGATTTCTGTTCATTCAATAAAACTGACAATAACTCCTGTCAGTCACGACCCAGACAAGCAGACAAAGTGCTTGTCTGGGTTCTCTCATATGGTGCTTGACAAAGAATAATCAATCACACTGGCATTGCCCTCAAGAGATCCTTGTATTTAATTTCATGTTTATTAATCTATTAACCTCCATGTAGTTTCTGTCTCTACCTTCATTCTGTATCATCACGGTCCCGTCCTCTCTGTGTTCTCTTGCAGACTCTGTCTAAACGGTAAACTGATGTCCCAAACAACAGACAGTGGTGAGTAACTTTTATGTTTTTCACTTCATTTTTGTTATATTTTTTAATCTATTCTTAAGTAAGCAGGTGTTTTGTTTTTTTGTGGCTCACTGGGTGAATGTGAGGTAGTCGTGCCAGTCATCGGTGTCACCCTCCCTCTCTCTCCCACTCTTACACCAGAGCACACTTACTGAGGTGGACATAAAAAATAAAAATGATACCAGTTTTTGTTCTGTTTACCCGACATTAATTATAAGCCTTAATTGTTGTGGAACTCAAAACATAAGAGGAATGGGATGAAAGAGTGAAAAAGAATGGAAATGGAGCCAGCCTGGTATACAGTAATACTGGAGCTCCTGGATCTTATATTGTTTCTTGAAGGTGCTTTGAACATTACAGCACCTTACTAACCTGTGATTTCTTCTTCTCTTCAAACAGACAGGCTGTGTCCAGCTGGTCAGCTCTACCAGAACTGCTCAGATGGAGAAGGTGGCCTCCTGTCAGGAAGTGGCGTGGCCTGCGAGCGCACCTGTGAATCCTACTTGCTCAACCTCACCTGCTCCACACATGAGCCCTGTGTGCCCGGATGTACCTGCCCCCCTGGGTGAGTGACACCTTGCACAAAAAAGCATAGAAGTTCACTTCCAACTTTATGGAACCACAAATCACTAAATCACTTAAAAGTAAAATGTATTTGAGCAAATGATGTGTGACACAATTTGGATTTAAAAAACAATTATTAGTTTTCATATTTTAAAAATGCCATAATTATAATAAACGTGAATGTGAAATGTACTTTGCATTTTAAAATGAAAATGCAAACTGGGCTGTTGCTTTAAGTCCATTTCACATTTAACCTTTGGTTTTTTTTTAAATCAGCAAACAATCTATTGCATCATACAGAACCATTGATTTCTTTGATAATCTTTATCACATCTCATACATTATCACCTTTTCAATACTTTGCAAATTATTTTCATTTTCTCCCTCCTTGATGCTGACCGGCCCTGAGGTTGAATTTTGAAGGGGTGGACATGTTTACTCTTGACGTGTTTGTGACCTGAGAGGTAGTGACTGGATGGTTTGAGTCCTCATAGCTATTGGAAGAATGTTGTTACAGAAACTCAAAGGGTCCCACTGCTAATGTGGTTGTGAACCTTGAAATGTTCCTTTGTGGATAGTTGTCTTGGTCAGCTGTCAGCTTTGAAGGTGACTCAGGGTGATGCTGCTAAAGAGCGTGGCCTTTTTCTTCATAGATAAAGGTTAAGAAATGACTGTGTAGGCTTGGTGAAATCTAAAGCTCTGAGTGTACCAGTCTGACTATGTCACTGAAGCTGGGGTCAGTAGGGGGGTCGGACTGCGGACTGGTTAAAGACTCTAAAAATGTCACACAAGCCAGGAATAATCCTCTTCCTCCTCCTCCTACCTCTGCAGGAGGATGGCACCGGGTCAAGGATAAAAAAAAATCCCTGTATCTGGTGACGCTCATTGCCTGGAGGAGGCTGGGTGTCTTCATACTGGCATTGATCACTGTTGATGATGACCACGATTGGTATAGACAGGACAACTCCAACCACTGAGGACTTTGATAATTCTCACAAAGAGCCATGTTAGAGTGTTTGTATCTTCCAGAAAAATTTGTGTTTTACAGCTTTATGATTGTGGAAAAAAGTATTTTTGGTTGCAACTCCAGCTGTGGCCAAAATGGCCTCACAGTTCAGCACTGACCCTGGGGGCTTACCAAGACCCATGAGGTCTTCCATGAAGTTTTCTGTGATTTAGATTTGTTATTGTAATTGTTATTGACTGCTGGTCATGGTAATACAAAGTCTGTCAGGTTCATTAAAGAGGTCATATTATGCGTTTTGGCTTTCCCCCCTCTCCTTTATTGAGCTCTTGTGCAAGCGTGTTCCCATCTTCGTCAGAAAACTCTGCTCTGAACTGTTTGCAGCTTGTTTGTAGTCCAGCCGTTTCTTCTGCTTTCTTGGGATGTCACCCCAAAACACACATCATAATGCTCGCCTAGCGGCTAGTCCGACACGCCCTCAAAATCACCGGTGGAAAAACACTGAGCTGCAGCAAACACCTCTCCTCTCCCTTGCAAACACTAACTACCCTCCTGGCAGTCAATGGACATAAAGTTGTTACTGTGATGTAGAGACAGAGCTCAGTTAAAACTTTATGGATGAAAGGTACATTTGTTACAGATTAATAACTCACCACTCTGAAACTCTTGCTCCAGTCTATGTTGCTAATCTGTTAAGGGGAACATATACAGCTGAATCGAAGCCATGTTTACCGGCTTCTCAGGGCCCGCACTACTCTGCTTCTGATTAGCTAGTAGTCCTAAACTAGGTACTGCACATGTGCAACTCCCAACAAAGATGTTGTAGAAGTGAGATGTATCACGCCATAGCTAAAACAGAGCGTTCAACACACAGGGCGAAAAGAGGAGCTGCAGCAAAATACAAAAATATGGTGTTTTTTGAAAATGAAACCATGTAAACCTGTTCTGGTACAACCCCTAAATAGGATTTTGAACCTGAAAATGAGCATAATAAGATTAACCTGAAATATAGCAAACAGGTCAGGCCAAAAGTGATGAAACCATTAGCTTTTGAATGTTTTGAAAATTCACTTGACCCAACTGAAACAAGAGTTTAAAGAATTCTTCATATGTTGATCTGATAATGGCAAAAAAACATTCAAGTCCCACTGCCTTGTGAGGTAATGGTATTTTCTTTTGTACCCCACTGCAGTAATGTTCATTTCTTCCAGGAGCCATATTTTGGTGAATCTTAGATCATCTGTAGAAGACAAAAGTCCTTACAACCAAGAGATGACAGACATCTGGGAGTAGATTACAGTAATCTGATCCCTGTAATCTCTTCTGGCTGTCGGCCTGAAAGGAGGGTTAAGTGGTTTCATTCTGTGACATCAACCAAGAGTCATCCTGATTACAATATGCACAGGCACAGGGGTTAGCAAAACATATCCTAGCTTACGACACTTGGCACGGATTATATAGCTGACTAATGGTGGCAACAGAAGCCCCATCTGTAACCTTTCTCTTTCACCTAAATGCAGACGATAAATAAAATGAAGTGTAAACACAACTAGAAAAATATGAAACTGAGTAATACTGAAGTGCTTTATACATAACAGAGAACACAAAATTAAAGACAAGAATATTTATACACTGCTAAACATAAATTTAGATTTAGATTCAAATCATGTTGGATTATATTAGCTTGAGATCCTATAAAATAATCAACGATCGCCTCAATAGGTTTATTTTGTAACACAGGTAACCAAAGACTCAACAAAAGAGCCACAAAACATACAAACAAAGAAAACACAAATGTTGCTCTCTAATGATAACATCTCAAAATGATTGACAGGTCCATGAATTTACTAATACCCGACAACAATTAAATCTAAGTTATTTAATTTAATGTCTGTCAGCACCAGAGACTGAATGATACTGATCTGCATATTTAAAAAAGCCAGTCTGAATATATCGACACATATGCATGACAAACAAAGAGGATTCATTTATTCCTTCTCGCCATTTTAAGCAATATGACCTTTATGGTGACGAGAATCTTCTCTAAATCCCAGTCCCGGAATGCAAGTCATAGCGCAAGTGTTTAATAACTCCTGAAACCTGATAGGTTGTGAGCTAATTTTGTGGTAAATATGGACACAAAGAGATCTCATTCAGCTCTCAGATGACAGCTGCAGTGTTTTGTTTTTGTCGAATTGTTATTGATTTTATTTCTCGTTGGCTATATCCACACCAGTAGCAGGAAGTTGTGTGAAAATAGTTATTTAAAACCGGTAAGAAAGCTCTGTGACCATTTATTTAAGCAGAATAGATGAAGACTAAGACTAAATGCCAAATTGTACTCTTGAAAATGGGATTTATCAGTGTTTGAAGGCTTAAATGATTTCCCAGCTGAAAAGCCCATTGAACAGCGGCAGTTCAGTCTCTTGAGCTGTAAGTTGTCTTAATTTTCTATCAGAAAGGATTTGCTATACATAAATATGCTATAGAAAATAGGAAAGAACATGTAGAAAGATCCATGTCTGAAAACAGTGAATCTAACACACAGCAATGTGCATTAACAACTCATTCAGTCAGAATTTGAAGTATTACATGACACATACATGCTGTTAGACACAGAAAGATTTAAAGATGCAAAGACACTGGACTTTTTAAAATGATAAAGTCAGTCTATAACTTAAGAATCATAAATGTCAGGGCATTGGGCTGGAGGTTGTGTATGCAGATGTTTAATGTGTAATGTTTGTGTGTAGTTCAATCTAAAAAAAACATTAAAGGTACCTTGAGGAATTTTCTTGTCAACAAAGGTCTCAACTGTTTCTTAGGACATATGGTAGAAAAAACATGAAATCCGTGCAAACTGATTACTAAACCGAGCACACTGACTGCTAAACAGAGTGTGATTTGGAAACCTGGCATTCATTTGTGGATTCAATTATACCTACAAGTAGCTAACGTTACTGTACGTGTTAATAATTTATCGCTTAATATTTTTCGCCCTCCTCCTAGCTTACATACAGGCACAGTTTGCCAGTTTTTTCCCTGCCATATGAACCTTTAGCTTGCTGTAGTTCTTCAGGTCTAAAAACAAATGTGCTGTATGCATTTCCTTCCACATAAAACATTTGTAAAGCTAATTATTTAAGTATTTAAAAGTCTGCGACCCCCCTGACGATCAGAGGAACAGCCAGTTGCAGAAATGCGCCTTGCCCGCATCCTCTTGTGTGTGCACGATACAAACAAAATGGGGACCCACTCTTATCAACATTCAGCTGCTACCGGTCAAAACACATAAGGGAACCTTTTAAAGGGATAGTACGTGACTGTAATCCAATATATTTTTAGTCAAATTCAGCAAATATTTCCTCACGGTTTGCTAGCTCTCCATTTTGAGTGGAAATCGGTTTTCCTACACAGCCATGACTCTGTAAATGGAAAACAAAGAAAATGGTGTGGACCTTCCCCACAACATTGTTACAGCCAATCAGCAGCAGTTAATGCTTGTGCACAGGAGTAGGCAGTGGAAGAGTTTTATACTCTAGGCACTGTGAAGAAGGAGAGATGATCGAGAAACAACCAAAGAGGAAAAGGTTTGAAGAGTATAAACAGAGAAGAAAGTTAAATGACCAGTTAAGGGCGAAAGTGTTTCAATGCTGGAGAAAACTTCTCAGCTTCTGAAGGTTTTATTTGTTTGGCAGCAGAAAATCACTTCACTCTCCCTTTAATCGAAAATCAATACAATCACAAACAATTAAAGCAGAGACCTCAGTCTTATGCCATTACATTACAGTACATTTTTCTTTTTTTTTTTTACCCATTGCATTTGTTGGCCTGCTACTCATCAGTCATATGGCAACAGCTTGCTGGCTTTGGTTTTCTTTTCTAAACCAGACCGCAGATGATAAGCAGGTGTTCCATCTGTCATATTAATACTATGCTTAGATGATTATCTTGAAAACAAAAAAAATCGCAACTCACAGTCAAGTGCAAGGTATTCATCTGCAGCAAGACTTAAAAACCTCTAATGGGAAATAATT